GATGTGGAGGGAGGTTAAAGACAGGCGGACCGATGAACAAGGGCATGTATGGGAAACCCATAACTATTGCATAACTACTACAGGGGGATCAGATGGGACTATCAACGTTCGTTCCCCCATATGAATTCCCCTTCAGCGTTTCTATTGAAGCTCTTGGGGGATGTCATAACATGCCGCTGATGATAGTTAGGAGATTGATTTGAAGATTGAGGTTCCGAAGATGTTGAGATAAGGTTTAGCGTGTTGCTGAGCCCTAGGGCTAGCCAAACATCTTGAACTCTATGGCGAGGCACGTGATTAGGTAGCCGCTTGTCCGAAAACATCTTGCTTACCCGTTCTATTGCGGTCATGAGAGCATTCCGAAAGGATTCCAAGGTTCTTGCGAAGTAGTTATTTAAAGTTAAATTAACAGCTGCAAAACGTCTATGTTCAACGTTCTCTTTAGATCCTACGATGGCTTGGTTCCAACCAATCAAGCATCGCGTGGCCCTAGCGGTAAAGCCGACGCACAAAATGAAGGGCAATCTCCGAAGTATGAGAAAGCAGCACATGCTCGTTGTTGATTTCATGATGTGCTGAAAGGTTATATGAAAAAATGTCTTACCTATCAAACAGCTTCACACTACGTTTTAGGAACTTAAATTTCTCATTTATCAATCTTATCATAACAGATTAATCTAGTTAACTAATAAATATGATTCATAATAATGTTGATTGGGATCAAAAAACACGCTTAGATATTTAAAAGCGAAGCTAAAAGAGAAGGGATTGATAATTACTCCTCCCTTTAACTGGCTCTTTACACACCGCTAAAATTAACTAGTTATTCAGAATCAGGCATGGCGTATACACAGTCTGACAAAAAATACAGCATTTCTCTGCTCTTATTCTGAAGACTCCTTCCGAGGCCCGCAGTAAGGGGGTGTAATTATCAATCCTTAAAAGAATTACATACCAATACTGTTCCAAACAGTGTGGTAAGAGTGACTGTTACATTACCAGCAGATTAAGGCAACAGGTCGAAGTTTATAACTCCGGGATTCTTTACGTGGTAACTAGATCTTGCTTCGACTGTGTTGAAGGGTATTTCTATCATGCCAGGGCAAGCCTGTGCGAGACGGGGCCGGTTCTCCCGCATCCAAGATACTAATTTCAACCAAGTTGGCACTTCCGCTGACGTCAGAGCAAACAGGACATTCTTGAAACCTAACGACTGGGTCTTCTTCCATTGCTTGCTGTTCCTTGCGTCTAAGAAACCGCTGTTAATGAACCAGAGACAGAAAAAGCTTCACCCCGTCTGCTACGTGAAATCAGGATTTATGCCGAAACAATGGAGTTTGACTTGCCTTTGCTGCGAACGTGGTGATTTTGGGCAATCTTGGCCTTGAGAGCCAGAAGAATAGATCCAATGAGCGAAAATCAGACTGCACCCTTGGCCCAAACTCCAGCCCACCAGATGAAGCCCCGGAGAAATTGTCACCTTTCACATGACCTCAAAACCCATTTTTAACATGAACAAACTTCCCGCAGGAGACTTGGAACTCCCCGACTATGATGACATCCTGAAATCAGATTTTACCCAAGGCCAATAAAACAAATCCCTCTTCCACAACCGTCGAATTTCTAAAAATATTTTGGGCATCCATGCAGCATAGACTCCATTCACCCTGGTCGAGTTTCTGGGTAAAAAGAAAGACGAGAATTACGAGAAAGGGAGGGGTCCAGGATAGTTAGCTAAAGTTTCAAACACGAAAGTTGTCGGAGTGAGATCTTGGAAACTTTAAAGCATAAAACAGATAACTTCCCGAAGAGACCTGATCGTAAGAAGCATTGAAAAACATCCTGCGTAAGCCGCCAGCACAGACTGCAAGCAGCAAATAACGGAAAGACTCCTGAAGAGAAATACTGGACCGGGTTGTATAAAATAACCTCTGTCAAATTAAACCAGTTGACACCAAGGTCCAGGAGTTTAAAAAAGAAACAAAAACAAAAAAAAAAAAAAAAAAAAAAAGTAAATGAAAATGAAAATGTAAAAAATTTATGCAGCGCCGTTTACCACTCCTCAACCCCACAATTTTTGCCGTCAATTACCCCTCCTCTCCTACATCATCTCAATGTCTGACATCTTTCATTATGACGTTTGGGCGGCATGAGCAATACCAGCTGACGCAATCATGCATAGTTCCAACAGATCATGTTCAGTTGCTTGCTGTCTAAGTTAGGGATCGAGTTGCATCTTGCATAAAGAGCGTTGTTTTGCTGCTGCACGACGGTGCAATGATATGCGAGGTTATTGGGAGAAAATGAGAAAATGGTTTCAACGGGAGAAAATAGTTACTTCTCAACTTTCCAGAGAGTTTTAATTTTTTGGTGTCGTAACATCATTCGACGTCCCTAATCTTCCCTGCAAGTGGGCTCTCATCATGCCTGAGATAACCGAACCTATGCCATTACTACTATTATTACCATGTCTGATTGAAACGCTTTTATCTGCAGAACCGTCCTTTCCGCCGTTCTACGGGGAAGAATTCATACCATGGAGGCTTGTGCATGTACTTGTAAACGTAGTCGTGTGTTCAAAACCATATTGTGGTTAGACAAGGGTTATTACGGAGAAATGCTTGGTACGGGAGAAGTTTCTAAATCCTTTTGTTAGGATTCTGGTCAATCACTTGCATGCGCAAGCAAAAATACGTGCCTGAATATATTCGCTAAGCTGGGGAAAAGATATGAATATGCGCTGTTTACTGACAGCTCGATGCCCTTGACGGGCGAAGCCAGCTTGGTGAAGAACAACTTGGAAAGGGAGATCCTGATCTATAAATAGCTATTTTGCACTCCGTAGTTGTCGCAAATACCATAACTAGGTTATTTCTGCGATGTGCACAACCAAAAAATAGTATTTTCATTGCATTTTGAATGTCCTTGTTTTTGTGTTCATCTCCGATAGTTTGAATGAATTTGTGCTCGTATCATACGATATCGTACTATACGATTCCTCTTCGTATCGTAGAGGGTATATAGATGTGTATCTATATGAATCTATATTATAATCCTTGCGGTACAGTACGCAAGACTAGGAGCTAGATGAGTATATTTGTAAACCAGCCAATCAAAATGACGAGACCAAGGGTACAAACAACAGAAAGGAACACGCTAGAAGGAAGTACGTGGCTTTGGATTTTGTGAATACAATCTGTACTGTGCATACTACCTAAAGTGCAACTCTCTTGAAAATGGAAAATAGGTGTGTTTCCTTGTGTGCGGGGAAATAACTGAAAAGAAGTTTCGACAATCGAGAATAATGATATGCAGATGACGAATTCGTCCTACATCTTTGCGGAGATGATTTTCTGGTAGTCCATATTTTAGGTATGATATGATGACACACCCGGATTTAAACTTGGGGGCGGAGCCGCCAAGTTTAATGCAAAAGTGAACTCGGCATATTAACAAAGTGCCGATTATTTTAATCTAGCAGAACGGGATGTTGAGCCTTAGCCCCTCCATTGCAGGGTGAAGGATTGCTTTGGGAAATCCGGCTCTCAACCGATTTTTTTAGGCGTCGATAGAGGCAGCCACGAGAAGTGTTTTCCGGTTTTTGTTGTCTCAAAGAGATTGAGTGGAAAATCAAAATGTCAAGCATGAATCCATGGTGAATCCGTAGAACTGACAGGGAAAATATAATGGGCGTCCCGTCGATGCCAAGAGAAACAAATAGAATAGTTTTGAGAACAGAATCCTTTAGAGATTGCGACACCAAATATATGTACAACCGAGGGACTAGATCAAAGAGAAAGAAAGGTAGCCTTCCAAAATGTCACCAGCAACATATTATACAGAACTTATCTGCCTTTCTTAGGATATTGGGGCCATTCACCGTCTTCTCCAGCTCTTTTCTCTTTTTCAAAGCAAGATACCAGGCGAATCGGTCTCTCCGCTGTGTAATTCCAAAAATAAATACTGGATAGTGCATCGATGACTATACCTATAGATAGGGAAGGATTTCCAAGATACTGGCTTCAGGAAACACGTGGAGGCTTGATTTCCCGCCCCGTCCCCGTCGTATGCCTGTAAGGCCTAGTGTAAATACAAGCAAGAGAAGGATCCATTTGTTCAAGTATAACCAAGGCATATACCAATTAACTTCAACTAGGAGCTCTTTCTTACAAATAAAGCCACAGAATAGATGGTAGCAATGTTAGGCAACTGAAAGCAAGAATAACAGCTCGGTTTTCAGACAATTATTCCATTTGAAAGATGGAAAAAGCAGGTGTGAGATATGAGATGTCGGAAACGGGTATTTTTCTTTAAGGGCGATGCCCTGCACCGGGTCAATTTCTGGCATTCTGGGGCTGGAGGTATGCTTGGAACTGTTTGCTCAGGAGGAGGCACTGACCTGTTCAAAGAGAGAAGGGCTTCGTGCGATAAGTATGTCCTTGGGGCTGAGTATGTGGTAGTCGGCTCTTGCGATGCATGGATGATGCTTAGTGTGAATTCTGGAGGTCTGAGGCACGTGGATGACGAGGGCAGCATTCGTTCAATCAAGTTTGTGCCGCCCATTTCCTGTCTGAAGGTGGTTTGGGCTGGCAAGGTTTTAAAATGGTTGCAGAGATATATGTTTGACTTCAACAGTTGAAGTCTATAGTTATTATTGAACATGAAAGCCAACCAATCGCTTTCCTTCAAGGTTGAGGGATTGGGGAACAACAAATTTTTTTTTTAAAAAAAATCATCAAACAAGACAGCCTGCTTGTCTGTGTTCGATAGGTGCCTAGAATTTCGGTAGTCGCATGGTGGTGGCGGCGGTCGAGGTCTGAAGTACCAAGTCAAAAAGTCCGGGGGTTGCCGGTTGAATCCATGATGAAGCTGAAGATGATAGCGGCATATTGGAGTCAGATCGTGGTCACATGGTCGATCCTTGATTGTCACCGAAACACGTTTGGGTGAGACTTTACTCCGGATGCATCGCTGATAGTCTTGTATTGGGGCCCCCGGTCATGTCGATGAATTATCAATCAATTGGCAACAATAATGAGGCTAGTATAGCCATGCTGGGCCTTGATCGGATGAAACAACCCTATCACGCACATGCGCAACGAGGTCTTGGTGAAGTCATGTTCACCACTCATATCATCAGCTCTGAACACGTCAATTGTTCTGGACAGCAGAGCAGAGGTCCCTTAATATCAAAAGGTGCCTATCATTAAACTTAGTGCCGGTGCATAGCCCATAAGGAACATTCCAAGTGGATATCAAGACTCTCCAGCGTGAACGATCCATTTTTAACTTCTTCAATTTCAACAATGAACGGGATCTGAGCCGAGTTTCAGGTTGATCAAGGGGTGGAATGTATTATTTCATTTCTTCATTGACTATGCCAAAGGTGAAAGATCCTTGATGAGTGAGTGTCCGCGTTATTGGTCGCGTAGTAATCGCGAACCTCGATCTGCGAACGGCGGCAAAAAAAAAAAAAAAAAAAAAAAAAATAGAAGAAAAAAGGAACATAGTGGAATTTAATGAGTGGAGCCCTCGCCGGATAACGTAATCAACTACCCAACGCCCGCTCAAATCTTCATTTTTCATTCATCTTTAACCACCCACAACATGCACCATGAAGCAGTTATACAAGCCGCGATTGATGATTTGAACGCGCAATCAACGCCTAATTACACTGAGACCGCTAAAAAATATGGAATCAGCCGATATACATTGTCAAGGCGTTATAGAGGCGTTCAAATGTCAAGAAAGGAAGCAAGCTCTATCCACTGCAAAGCTCTCACTGATTCGCAAGAAAAACGGCTCCTTTTTCATATCAATTGATTGGCAGATCACGGTTTCCCTTGTACGCCCCAAATCCTTCATAATCTCATTGTTGAGATTCTAAAAGCACCTATTGGAGTCAACTGGGTGGCTCGGTTCTGCGAGCGCCACAAGGATGTGATCAAGTCGCTCTACCTGCGAAATATTGACCAAAAATGCAAGATTGCAGACAATTCTGCATACTTCAAGCATTATTTTGATCTTGTAATAGATTTCTTTCTTATACTGCTTTTTTAATTCTCATCTTGCTAATTTATCTTAATTTTTCAGCTGCAGGCAAAAATCACAAAATACAACCTTGAACCTGCGAATATCTACAACTTTGATGAGAAAGGATTCCTATTAGGATTCATTCACACCCTCAAACGTATAGCATCAATTAATTCGCTCAAATCGGGCTGTATGATAGGTGCCAGCCAGGATGGCAGTCGAGAATTCATAACACTACTTGCCTCAATTTGCGCAGATGGAACTTCACTCCCACCTGCTCTCATATATCAAGAGGAATCAAGAGATATGCAAGATACTTGGCTCGAAGATTTTGATAGTGAAAAGGATCAGGCCTACTTCGCTGCTTCAGAAAATGGGTGGAGCAATGATGAATATGGGTTAACGTGGTTAAAGAAGATCTTTGAACCTCTTACAAAAAAGAAGGCAGGCCGCAGATATAGACTTCTTATATTGGATGGCCACTCATCCCATGTTAATATGGAATTCATCAATTACGCAGATTGGAATCGAATTCTACTTGCTGTCTTTCCTCCCCATTCTACACACCGATTACAGCCGCTAGATGTTGGGATATTTGGATCATTGGGTAAATCATATTCCAAACAACTGAATGAACGAATGAGAACTGGAATGGGATTCATACGCACTACAAAGAGGTCTTTTTGGCAGCTTTTTGACACTGCGTGGAAGGAGGCAGTTACATCTTCAAATATTGAAGCTGCATTTGCTGCTACTGGCCTACATCCATTCGATCCGGAACGCGTTCTTAAAAAGCTTCAAATACGACCTTGCACCCCCCCCTGACGCAATATATCAACCAAGAACACCTTCTTCTATTGTTGGCCTGTGGAAATTGGTGAAGCAAGTCAAGCAACAGCAGCATCAAATATCTAATGATCTCAACTGGGTGATCCGTGCAGGGGAAAATCTTGCTCTTGATAAAGAGGTTCTTTTAATAGAGAATCAGCAGCTTCAAATAGCTCTTAATCAAGAGAGGAGACATTGCAAGTGTGGCAGGGCAATGGGGTTGCTAGATCCCTTGAATCCATCATTGACGCAGTTCTTCTCGCCAGCAAAGGTGCAGAGCATCTGTGAGAATTTGGCGGCCTCAGAGGTTGCCAAAAAGGATGAGCAAGCTTGTAAGGAGGATGCAAAGCTGCAATACACTATTCTTAAGGAACAGAAGGAGGCATATATCATCCAGCAGAGGATGGAGCGGGAGGCAGCTCGCCCGGCCACAAAACAGCAAAAGGAAATGGATAAGGCCGCAAGAGCTGCTCAACGGCAGATTGACAAGGAGCTTAGAGATGAGAAAAAAGCTCAGGAGCAAAAAGAAAAGGAAGAACGAGCTGCCGTACGGCTACAATCACAATTGAATAAGAAGATGATTGAAGAATTCAAAAATCACCTTACTAATCGGGAAAGTAGACCCTTGATTTCGCAAAGAGTGGCTAAATCGCGTTTTCAGAGCCCTGCCAGGGTGCCCACAGATCCACTGCCAGAGGGATATGATGATATTGCAATCTCTACTGGTTTAATGACTGCTTGCTCGTTGAATCTGCCTCCACCCAAGATTTCATGTTCTGGGCGAGTTATTAAGCCAAACAAATGTTTACTGAATTAGTTATATATTTTTATATGTAATTTTCTATATATATTTTCATCCTATAATATATCATCTTAAAATCTAATTGCGTTGTTGAAATAACGTTGAAAATATTTCATCATAGTGATGGCGAAATGGCGGGCGTTGGGTGTAAACGGGCGTTGGGTGGTTGGATTACGTTACACACCAACGCTAAACACAGGTTGGGGGATGAACCTGAAACCACGCTACTGGGAAAAGTTGAGAATGGGCGAAAACAACCTTGCAAAATAATACGCAGCACACGGTGAATCTTATCCCCTGAGTCGTTGACTCGCAAGTTTGGCGGGGCGATAGAAGAAAAAGCAAAAATAATTAAAAATAAAAAAAATAAAAGCAAACATGAAATTGACATCATAGTTACCGCGGAGGTACGGAGCAACTAGAGGACAGAACAAAACAGAAAACGCTGAACAACCGTGATGTCGCACAAGTTTTATTTCCCGAGGACTCAACCATAGCATTTCCATTTCTTTTTGCCATTTTCACGGGTTGGAGGTGTGTGCCCCTGAAACTGCTGTTCCCATTTCAATGAATTCAACGTTGGGAGCAATTTACTTTTAGTCTTTTTCTCCGTTCCCCACTTCAAGCTCGAAGTTCGGACGCCCACCCCCTTGCTAACCATGGCTCATCCCGCTCCGTTACCATTAAGTTATTCCATGCTTGCTTCCTAGAATTTTCCTCCCTTATTTCCCCCTCGGCTATCTTGTCCCATCTTTATCCCAGAAAATATCCAAAAGCGAAAGCTCATGAGCTGCGCACCTGATCATGATCGACAGGCATGGACGATCTGGCTCCAATCAACTGTTCGTATATCCCATCCATCCCCCCCCCCCTTTCTTAAACCTATTTCCCCTTCTTTATCCGGGTCATATTGCCTTGGCAAGACAAAAAAAAAGGGGGGGGGGCTGCTATTCGGGTGGGAAAGTGGGGAACCAAAATGCTTTCCTGCGTGGCAGCCCAAAGAGCCTTTAATGGGGCTCCGGGCCTGTCAGGCTTACATGCCACACTGAGTGGTTTGTCCACTTAGAAGACAAGTAAAGGGGGTGGGGTTTTTCGACTCGTGGCGCCTGATCGAAGATGGCGTCTGTTGTTGTGCCAGAGCTCGAGAGCTTGTGAGCGTTCCATGGTTTCTTGGTTTGTGGGGAAACTTTTTCTTTTTCTCATTTGCGTTTGAGTTTCAAAGAGTGATCCCTCACCGCAAATGAACTTAAGGTCCGTCTCTGGGGACTTTTAAGAGGTGCTATTATCCACAGTAGCTATTTTGTATGATATGCAACGCTATCCTATTTGTCGGTGGTGATTGTATTATACAGGATTCAAGACGATACTTTTCACGGCGATCCGTATCATGGAAATATATAATTGCAATACATTCTCAATCCCTCATAGATACTTGTAGATTGAAAAATTGCAAAAAAAAAAAAAAAAAAAAAAAAGTTGCTATCACTCTCAACCCCAAAAAAATGTCGTATAGGGAGCGGCAAAGAGGTCTGATGTCTCTCTCCTTGTAGCACCCCCCTCTCTTCTCTCTCCTCACACAAAAGCAAAATTGTCTATGCACATCTTTCCCCTTCTACCCCAGATGTGCACGTTTCCACCCTGCTAGAATCCGAGGCCCAGAAAAGAGAGAGAGAATAGGAGATGTCAAATCTAGGGTAAGGGTTGCCGTAAGTTTCAATGTTTAAAAATTACCCGCAACGCTGGGGAAGGAAAAAAAAAAACGAAAAATATAAAAATTTTGTTATGCTGGCATTTCAGTTACATTTTTGTGAACGTAGGTGCTTTTGCCACCCCCTAATGCCTCGAGTTCGGCATATTTTGTCCTTTTGAGGTTTCGTTTGTCGTTTAGCTGATTTGGTTTGGAGGGATAAAAAATAATATGTATAAAAAATATAAAAATAAAAAAAGGGATTTGCTGCGTCAGAAAGTAGAAGAAAATATCCAGTTGGTACTCTTATTGGAACGCTTCTCGAAGTAACCTGCCGTTTCAGATTTGGGATTTAGCTGCAATTTTAGCTTTTCTAGACAGACACTAAGCGAGGTGGTTTTCTTTGCTTTTTCCCAAATCGAACCTCATGTCAATGAGTTCCAAAAGGCAAAAATTCACCCAAGGCAGAGGAGTGCAGGAATAATATAAACGAATGATAAGTTCATGGTTAATTCAAACCACATAAAGCAAAGTTAGTGCCAGCCAGCATTTCAAATCGGAAAAAAAATGGATGGGTAGGAAGTGCTTTCCAACAAGTGTGGGAAAATAAAATCAGCTTAATATCACTTCCCAGCCAAAGGAATCCAAAATAAACAGACTACACCGTTGCTTGGATACTTGTGTAGATGTGATGAGCAGAATATCTCTTAATGTGATAAAACACAACAAATACCCTTGCGTTAGAACTAGTCACGAGGGAGGATGTAGTGAACGAAGGAAGTTGAAAAAAAGATTGAAGGATAACATTGAGCTACAATCCGGAATAGTAAGATCGATAAACATAAAAAACATAAAAAAGGGTAATAGGCCTGCCTTGAACAGAGTCTGTGGAATACAAAAGCGCAAGGTGTAATTTCGAGGAAATGAAAAAGGCAGACAGATATTCAAGTAATATAATCCGGGGAAACGGTTTGTTTTATTCTGGTTAAGTTCCACCTCTCTCTCTCTTTTATTTTTATTTTAATTTTTTTTTGAGTGGTTTTCGTTTGCCATCCATCAATATAAAATAAAATTAAAACAAAATCGGGTTGAGGTCTCCTGGACTGTGTAGATTTTCGGCATGTCTTCTTCCCCCTTTCTCCCCTGAACATTGCAGTACTAAGCACAAAACTTAATTTGGGAGACTGATTCATTCTGGAGGTAATTTAGAATTTCTCCTCATCCTTGGACTCGGCAGGTTTTTCAACATCCCAAGCACGTCTGTAGTTTGGCTGTCCGCGCAGGGGAGAGAAGGGAGAAGGAGAAGCTGGACGACGCAGGTTTGCAGTCTGGAAATCAGTCAGTTTGGAATCTTTTTGTTGCTTAAAAAACGGGCAGCTTTGGTTTCACATACAACGCAATCTGCGCATCTGCCTCCCTCAGTGTTCACGCGGCCACGGCAGCCACGAGGGTAGTTTGCACAGGAGTACATGTTTGCGATAGTACGATGTTGTTTTCCGTTAAGAACGGGGATGTAAGAATGCGACAGAGAGGTTTGAGTTGGGGTAGTTGGATGGTCTGGTGCGATTGAATTTCAGACCGAAGAGTTCACAATGGGGAAAAGAAGAGGGTTGATTTAGGGATGAGTAATAGATATGGAGAGGACGGAGGGTGGTTGGATTAGTGTTGATCGTATGAATGACTAGATGTATGGAAGAAGATAGGAGGCGCTTTTCGCGGGAAGCGAAGTGTCTTATGTGCCAACTAGGACGGGAAGAGAGGATCTCTTGGAGAAGATATAAGAGTTTAGTAAAGATAAGTATATTAGAGGAGAATTAAAGGAGGTTTAGGTAGCAGACTAGCAAGAATCGAATAAAAGGCGGCGTAGAAGCATGTCGAAAAGAAGGGAGAAGTAGCAACAGCAGGAGGGACAGCGGCCTTTATATAGAGTCAAGGCGGACAGTAAATTGGGTTGAGTTTCTTCCTCTCTGGAACCACCGTTAATAATATTAATATTAATATTAACATTATTATTGTTATTATTATTGCCTCATCACCAACTTCACTCCGTCTCGGGACTTTTGCAAAATAGACCGGCGTTGACACTTTTTGGTCCCATTTTCAGTTTCTCGATACCATAGCCAGTATGGAACCAATCTGTTTAAAGGGCACGACCCGTTTTACTGGGCCTGGCTGTTCATGACGCCCATTACGCCCATCGATACGTTACCATACGCCGGTATCGAGGCTGTAATAAATGCCTGAGCGCTAGCTCGAGCACTGTAGTCTGCACAAGACCCATCCTTGCTGTTAGCTAAGCCTTCGGAGCTGGAACTTCACGAATTTCCATCTCTGGTCAAGCGGGTTGAAGAGGGTGAAGGGGGGGGTCCTTGCGCCACCTCGTCACCTGTCAATCACCTTGCTCTACCTTTGGCAAGTCTCTCTGAATGACGTAGGTTGACAACCAATGGTTGCAGTTCGCTGGTTGATGGATGCTGTTATTCCTGCATCAAGCAGCACGTTTTCATTCTCACGAAGAGCAGCGGAATGGGAAGATCTTTCGACACCCAGGACTGAGCTAAACCTGCGGCGTTGCCCGCTCCCATTCCCAACTCTCCTCCTGGTTAAAACCTTGGACATCACAGAAGCAGTTTGTGAGGATAAGTTCCTTGTGAGAGAGTAATAGCTCTTTCCTCTCTCACGCTAGCCACATTTAGGCCTAGCTCATAACTACATCCCACGCACGCTGGCAATCTCCGCTGCGTACTCCAGTGAAGCTCTTATTATCTCTATATATATATGTAATTGAAAAATGATTGTGAGTGTACAGTTTATATAATGTCAAAATCAATCCTGTTATATTGCTTAGTCTGCTTTTTCTTCTCATCCCTTTTCTATCAGCCGCTGATCTACTTTTTTCTTTCATAGCTCAATTCTTATATTTCTCTGTATGAGGCTGTGTTTGAAATATTAAGTGAAATCCGGGCATACTTTCATTCAAGATTACTATTTTACTACTATGTTATAGAAGAAGAATTTATCTAATTCTAATCTACACTTATATGAAATAGCTGGCTGACAGCTGTAACATTTCATCTCTCCTTCACTACAGCTATATAATTATGGCTGAATAACACTGGATATTATATTCAGGTATTCTATTGAGGTGTTGCAGTTGCCAACCGGACTGATATTCATACTATTTCAGTGATATATCAGACTGTAGAGTGTAGCGACTGCTCTCACGTATGAACAGCGAGCGATGAGCGAAGCATGCTTGGTTTTATGTAATGATATAATCAGTTCGCTCTTAACGCACCTTCATTTCCTGTATATTAGTTACTAGTGTAATCCCGAAGTTCTGCTTGCTCCTCTGGACATTTGCATTCGCCAGTCTGTTTGCTTGACTATGGCAGTCATTAGCACTTCCCACAAACTACCCAACAGGCAAACATATGCGGCCGTTCTCGAAATCTCCTAGCAGATCAAGGCGGTCGGGCCGGAGTCTGTCAGGTTGAAACCCGTGGTTCGCAAGTGGATACAAAGTTTACGTTCAACTTTCCTGTCGAGGCAAACCAAAATTTTCTCAGAGCAATTGGCTGGTTGATCATTAAAAAGGGCCTTTGGGTAGTTTGTCTGCAAAGGACCCGAACATTGATGGCTTTTCGGTCTTGTCCCGTAGGGCGCGCCTTGATGCCATGTAGAGAGTTTCCATATACAGTTTGGTCAAGAGGTAGTTAGTGGTTGCAGCGGAGCTAAAGGGTCAAATTAATCAACAACCACTAGGAATTATATAGAGTAATGATATGGAATATACTATTAGGCTTGTGAGCATCTTGGGAACTTCCGTTCTGTACTATCACATTTACTACAGTGTGTATGATGCTCACTTTTTAGATCTAGAATTTGAATTTGTAATCTTAATCTCAACTGGCTGATTGATCTTCTGAGGTATAGCAGTTTTAGCTACTGCTTCTTGATCAGTCAGAATCCCTTCTTTAGTTATATATATATATATATATATATATTATATATATTATTTTTTTTCCTTCTGTTTAGTATATCAGTAGCTCTCAGCTTCTTGATTTTCTTTATTAAAAGAGTAATATTATGTATGATCAACTGACGTCTATTAATTATCTAATTGATTAGACTAGAAAGAATATTTATATAATATTTATTTTATAACTTTATTGTTTTAATTGAGTTATATTAGAGAGAGTTTCAAAAGTTCAGAAAAACTAATATTCATAAAATTTATTATAAGCTGACTTTAAGAGAGTAACTAAATGTGTAAAATATAAGTAGATAATTGAATAAAAATCTTCTCTATCTAATGATACTAAGCTTATAACTTTAAATTTAATTTTTATAATAATATTTTTTATTATTTTTTATTTGATTATATATAATTAAATAAAAATTTCCTTTATTAATATAATTAATTTTTAATCTTATACTTTATATAACTTTTTCACTATATATTTTAAAGACAAAAAGCAGCTCATATCTAATAATTATAGTAGATAAAAAAGTAAAAATATATATATAAAACTATAGTATTATAATTTAAATAAAATCTAATAAATTCAGTTATAATATAATTATTATATTTATTAATAATTAATAATTTATATAGTTAACTATATTTATTGTATAAGTTTTAGTATTTCTATTAAATATCTCTTATAGTCATATTAAGTTAAATTCATTTTAGTTTAACTTTTTTTTTACTAATTTCAATTGCTTAATCTACTGATAATTAACTTATATTAATCTCTTACTCTTTAGTATTTATAAGAGATAAGGTTTATATAGCATTAATTGCTATAATCATAGTTTTTTTATTTTTTTATTTTCTCTTTTTCAACTTTAGTAACTATTCAAACTACTGAAATAACTTTTACTATAATGTGAATCTTATTAAATTATATATATATATTTTTAATATATTTTTATATCTTTTATAGTATTATTTATTAATTTAAAGTTATTTATATAAAAGCTTTAAATTTTATATTAAACTTATCAATAATCATATTTTATGAGATTTTAATCTTCATTAAAATATTATTTAATTAATTTATTGATTTAATTAATTTATATAATATTAGCAGTATTGAATTCATATTTTATAAATAGTATATTAATTTTTCTTATACAATAATAGTTTGAGAAGACTATTTTCTTTACTAAAAGCTCACTTTTCTTTTGTAAAAGTTAAATTTTAATATTTTGTTTGAGCATTCACATGTCAAATTCAATTTTATAATCTATGAATAAAGAGAAGAAAAACATCATACACCTCAGCAGTAGCTTATATGTTTGAAATTTGATCAATTTTATAGACTTTAATAAAGAAGTCTTTCTTCTTGATTAGAATCATGTTTACTTAGAGTGATAAGCATATTAAATTATATACTAAATAATGAAGAGAATTGACATGAGAGAATAGTTCACTCAGTGATGAATTACATTAACTCATTTAACTCACTTAACAAATGAATTTGATAGTTTAACTAATATAATTCATCACTGTGAATTCCAAAAAAAAAAGAAAGAAAGGAAAAACCTCAGTACTTAACACGTAAGCATACCCTGCATTAGAAAAGAAGAACAGACAATGACCATCACAGACTTGAATTGCCAACGTTGATAGTTATGCTTAAATTCAATCATGATTCATCACAACTCTTGATTGTTTAACATCTGGACGACCAGCAATTCGGTCAGACTTCAAGTTAATCTCTGTTTCTTTGTGTCTTTGGACGTTTATTTTTCCCGCCCTGTTCTTTTCTTTTCCTGGATCTGGACTTGAGATGATCCACTTAACTCCGCATGAAGGAGTTAGATCCCGCTTGCGGGATTCTGAATTGACCACATGATATCGTCAGATAGACGGTGAGACAATGAGACGATGAGACGTACATCCCCATCCTCGTTCAAAAACTCTCCCAACAACTCTATTCCTCATCGTGCATTGGCTATGGTTGACCCCCCATGAAACCAGTCCCAAACCCGCTCCTGGCAATAGCCATATCTAGGGCTCAAAATCGTGTTAGCAACTCCATGGAAACCATGAAGACTAAAAGCGATTGATCAAAAAAAAATAAACAAATAATAAGGTTAACATACGAGTAATCAACGAACAAAGCTTAAACTCGTCGGAGCTTTTCCGCATCAAATTCTCACTCTTCGAGACTGGACTAGCTAGTCAGTTACCCCAGATCCGTGCAGTTGGGCTCGCAAGAAAAAGAAACGAGGGGAAAGAAGAGCCCCGCTTGGTAACTAACGATCTCTATTTTATATATATATTTTTTTATTTATTTTCCTGGCCTGACGCGCACTCTATGTCAAAGTCACTAAAAAGGCACTGAATATCAGATTAGATAAAAGCGGTGTCGAGCTGAATCTGGCCCACGTTAAGGAACTGCTCCGATGCCTAGTATGTTGCCTTTCGCATAACTACTCCATATAGCCATTTGCAGAGCAATGAAGCGGTCACCAATAATTAGACAGACAGGAGCGAATCGTTCGGCGAACGGTCTAGGCAAGCCTGTCAAGATCTCGATTCTCGGCAGACGGGAAAGTTTAAAAAAAAAAAAAAAAGGAATAATATTGTCTTGATAGTTAACTAACGACAAAAAATCAATCTTCCCACCAAAATCTGACTAGATAGCGTGTTGGCAGGACTCCTTTGTCCTCAGGTTTTCCTTTCAAATCATCCAGCCCATTCTCACAGGATCTGGCCACGGTTCCGTGGGGTGCTATATACCTGTCAAGAACGGAACCTAAAATCAGTCAGCCTCCTTTTTAGATGCGTAATACGCAGGCCGATTTGCTTAGCCTTTCCGATACGTAGCTACACAGATGTTGCTCTCCCCGGCTGAACATCCCACAGCCAGCGCAGGATAAATGTTTATGGACTAAATATCACGAAACCCCGGTTCCATCCTTCATGGTTCCACCTCTGGATTACATTTATCATCTCGGATTCGGATTCGGACTAGATCTCCCATATCTACCTTAGTGTTGGCACCGGCCACTACCTAACAACGTCGCACTGTTTCGCAGTATAGCGTAGACTTCGCTGTGGCAAAGATTTTTCCCGGTCATTAATGAATCAACTCTATGTTGTTTCCACACTAGGAAACTCATAAACAGAAATCAAACCCGATTGTCGGTACGAGCTTATTGATGAAGCACGTTAAACCAATAACCAAACCTTGAATGAAACTAGGGATAACTATACAATCTCCCAACAATCAACAAGAACAACAAATGGACAAAGAAGGACTGCAAACTCTCAAGTACTACCAAAAATGTCGCACTATTTAGTTTGTTGCATCCTGCGGGGAATTAATATGAGGGATGCGCATTTTACAAGGGCCCTTAATTTCTAGAACTTTCGCACAAACCCATGGATTGGTCTATGGAGGGTAGGTGGTTAGTAGTTAAGATGCCAGAATCCATTTGCTATCGTGATGATCGCCCTGCATCGATCCTGCAAGTCGACGCCTGGGAGTCTGGGACCCGTCCGAAAATCATATAACGGGATCGAAAATGAATGGAACGAATGAGACTGGGCCGCTTGTATCGACGAAGTGTGGTTTTTTTTTTTTTTTTTCTCGTGTTAACCGTCCGCAATACAACCTCAAATTTTTCATCCTGCGTAATGCATATACATGCTGTTCGTACCGAGCTTGCCCTTTTAGAGATTGAATGGATCTTATCTGGTTATGACTTTGATTTGCTTGCCCCCACAAAACTTCTGAACTGGAGTAGTTCACTCCGTACGAGGAGAGAGGTTGGGCAATTACCAATTTTCTCTCCCTGCAAAAATTGGCACAATGTTGCGCTTCGGTGTGGATGTCTACAATACAATATGTAGCATCCCTAAGGTCGACTAGCTGCACGGCCTGTGGACCGAACTGAAGGCTATTATTTTCCACCTTCTCGCAGCGATCACGTTGTCCGCCTTATTGCCGATTAGGTGGGTTTTGCGCCCTCTCAACAAACACGAGAATCCCTCTGAAAGAGTGAAGCTATTTTGACCGGCCCAAGTTAAATATGTGTGGAGAGCGTCTCATCCATCTGCTGAGCAACTTCTTCCCGACTGATCCACCCCAAGAAGGGTTGGTCCTTTCAAATATTAAATCTCACCAATCTTTTCATCGGACTGGGGTCATGGATGGAACGATTCATCAACTGTGGAGATGAAAACGCTCCGAAACCTTGCCATGAAGTTGGATCCGTGGAACATTTTCGCAGAAAGCCCAGAACAATTTTAGAGAGTTTCTGTGCATGGTGCTAGTGAACAGTTGGGGGGGGGGGGGGGGGGGGGGAATGAATTTGCGGTGTACTTCTAGGCTCTTTAGTTATCCGAGATTTGTGCTCCCGTGATGGGACAAGGGAGCAGGAGTAGTTAATGAAAAATATTCCGGAGAGATCAGAAACAACATCGCCTTGGAACGCGCATATAACGATGCATATAAAAGCTGGAAATATTACCGCTTCTGGATCTCCAGAAGCCACCATCATGAAATTTCTTAGTCAGGAAATTATCCATAGTTAAGTCAAAAGGAAAAGCGTATACCAGCTCGGACAAATTTTGCCCTGGACTCTCGATCGACAGAGGTGGCGAGACACAATGGTCTCACGTTGGGCATATGTTCAATAAATGCTGTGCTTGAGGGGAGATCTGCATCATTTTTAAACATGTCTAGATATGCCTGCCAAACCTGGATTCAACCTGATCGACACACTCCCATAAGCATTGATCCAGAGAGCCTTCAGTCATGCCACACACCTTGGAACCGCCCGTAGGCACTTCACGCTCATGATATGCCTTTAGCGTGTTGACCAACAGGCGGTGCTATTTGCTAGCTCTCAGTCAGCTCTCAGTCGGCGCTTTTAGGCCTCATATAGACTGCTCGCCACCATGCGTAACCTATTCAAACTCCAATAGCAACACGAGGAAGACCACGCCGTTGTCGTTGCGACGCAGCTCCGGACGAAAAAAAACTTCATCTTGTGGACGCTGGTTGTTGATTTCCATATTCCATGCGCAGGATTGAGACAAGTTACTAGCGTATAAGCTCTGCTCTCTGCTGACGGCCATGATTCCCTCGGTTGACTATTGCTTTCTCGATGGCTAACGTGGGTACTCTGCTGCTTTCTTGCGAAACGGTCATAGTTCTTCAAATCAAGCACCAGTAAGTAGTTGCCAGTAACTACCTCTAGGCGGTTACGCCCAGTCCAATCTTGTCGTAAATAGCTGCTGATATCCGCATTTGTAGTCTACCTCCAATTGGCCTTTCGTTGACCCTGGACAATAAAATCAAAGGCAAGAGAGGTCAAATTTATAGATTGCTGTTTCCATTCAATGGGATTACGAACACATTGTCAGCAACGTTTGGGGCTTGTGCAGGGACTAGAACCTCAAACCTGGGGCGTTCGTAAAGGCCCAGCACTGGCATGTTGTGATAAAGATGCTATTCTCTCGGTATGATGAACCTATGAAGTTCTAGTCTAAAATATTCACGCTCTATTTTGCTTAAAATTCCTTGAATATCCATCGACCATGCGTATCGAAGACGGGAGACAAGCGACCCTCTCGCAACCCCCCTCATCTTGTTCGGAAATCATAACTGATCTGCAACAAATGTCCGTGACACTGGTCGTTAGGAGTACCAATACCCCCATTGAACGGAAATAAAGACATCAGGAAATGTCAAAGGAATATCGTAATCCGGGTTGTTTAAAGTCAAGCGGCGCTTAGAAATAACCGGCGATTCTTCCGGGGTTCACGTTTGGGTCTTACGATCAAGTGGATTGAACAGGCCCCAATCGTAACTTGAAAGCTTACGGAACATCGCACTCGGGGTTCTTGAGAATATCCTGTAATCTGTGAGGATTTGCGTGTGCCGCAAGTGCTGTTTCCACAGGAGTGCGCAAAAATATCCACATTGTGTGTAATGTTCCTACGACAGCAACTTGTGGGTCTGAAAATGCCGATATATATGATTTCATGACCTCCCCTTGCAAATCTCCTGCGGTAAAACGAAGACGCGGGATCGCAAGGTCGTGAGATATCCGGTCGGGTGGGACGGACGTACATGTTTCATGCAAATTATGCCCGACACCCTCTCATCCTGCAAGGAATGACTGCCAGGCAAAGAAGCTACCGATTAAAACAAGACCAATGCTAGCAAGAAGGCCATTACCTTCCCATGTGAGAGTTAGGTAAGCTGCTACACCCACAGCGATCTCCTTTCGCCTGGCAGCGGCCCTTTTTCTTTTCCAGTTTGCGTCAATCTCAAACGGAGGTAAGAATACAGCAGGGGGCGAAGCGGGCTTCAACGGCACTGAAACGGAAAGTGCAACAGCTCTGTGGTCAGACGTTTGAAACAGCGGTAGAGCATCGTATCCATTAACCTCAATGTTGTTTTCTCCAGTCGAGGAAGAAGAAGGGAAATCACTATAGAGGATTCGGTCGCACCAACTTGGCCACCGCTGCTTCGCCCAGCTCCATTTTCCAGTTGGACCTTCGGGGTAAACCTGATCTGCTTGAAGAGTGAATTTATACGTGGGTAAGAATTTGATAGGTGCTTCGGAGAAATTTTGTAGAGTCTTCTGCTCCTGGAGTTCGCGAGTCAATTGATCCTTCTCAAGCAGATGAGAATAGTGATAGGGACTGTTCAGGTCTTCTGTAGGTTGAGGAAACTTTTTGTAGTCTTTCGGCCCTGGGCGAGTTAGTGATGTCCGGTAATTCAAGTCTCCAGCAGCAAAGATATACGATCTAGGTGAATATAGACCATTGTCCTTTTTTACGTCGGGAGATTCGGGTCGAAGAAGAGGGGCGTCTTCTTCCGTTTCCCCATCACGAATTCGAGTGTTTTCACCACTGTTATTCGTCCTCGAAAAGACAAGCCTTTCACTGATGCTCTTCCAGTCTTCGTTTCTCCTTTCTACTGCCCATTCATCTGGGGCAAGATGGGCCGCAACAAAGGTCAGGTCGACAGTATCTTCGTTGATATAATAGCCAATCCGTGCCCCAGCAGCTCCTTTATTCCCAGCCTCCTGCACCCCCACTCCAACATCCGCAGTTTCAATCCGGGCAATTTTTCCGGCGACGTCTTGACGCACAAAGACCATTATTGCTACCATCCCGGCATTCTTAGTTACAATATTCGCGTAACACTCTTCACCGGCTGCAATGTTCACGGCACGGCGAAAAGCATCAAAATATGGATTCAGGAATGAGCCTCCAAGGAATGCATAGGAGATAGGGGCAACTTCCTGGAGTGACAAGACAAGTATCTCGGGTAGATCCGTTGACCGACACCTTGAATCAGGAAGAACATCGAAGAGATGAGAGGCAAACGAGTAAGGCTGGATCACATTCCGAGCGCAGTTGAAACTCAGTACATATATGCTTAGAGATTCCATGCTAATCTATATTGCATGAACCGTTGTCCAGCCCAGGTTGATCTGACTTCATCAGTCTTGAAATGTTTGTTGACAACTGGAGAGTTTGAGATTAGAACTTTTGGAATATTTTGCATAATTTGGTCACGTGGTCCAGGAACGATCGAAATCGAACCGAAAGTTTCTTGAGGTTTCCGAATCTGATGCCAGTCTCGATGGATATCGATATCTCCACCAATTGAGATAGAATGGTTGTCCTGCTAACGTGTGTTTCATTTTGCTCCTAAGGTCCCTTGAGATTTACATTCCCTCCTAGAACCTGCTCACAAACCCACATTGCAGTGAGGGTGTGCAGGCTTACACTGTCTTCCTCGATCTGGTTACTGAGCTTTTTCTCTCTTACCTCTTCGTCCAGTCGTCCCAAGGCTTCGAAAACTACGACCTGGTCTCTCATGAATGTGTCCAAACAGCCTTTTGTCCCCTTTCTTGAAGTCTCCTTTGGGTTCACATGAAACTCTCCTATTAAACTTGCAACGCACTCGTCAATCATCGACCGCAGTAAGGCGATCATTCCTTTCTCGGGATTGGCAGTGTAATGTCTTTTGTTCTTTGCCCCCGATTTATATTCGGAATACAACATCCCCCGGCCGAGGCGAAAGCCGGTTGATGTGTGGGCAACAAGAAGTATGTAGATATGCGAAGCATCATGCGTTGGTTCCGTGGTATGTATTTTCACAAGCGGTATTTCCGGAGTCGATGTCTGCCCCTTCGTTCTGGGTTTAGGGGATAGTGATTTGAGTGCTCTGGTTACTGATTTTGCTGCTGCACACTCGAGGAATTGACGGATCGTCGGTTGAAAACTAGAATCTTGGCCAAAGTCTTCGTTTGCAGGAACCGTGGGTTCTAAAAATCCGGATTCTTCCACCCCCAATGCTGTTTTGGGTAATGCAGGCTCTGTAGTATGACGTTTTCGGAAGTGATTCCCGCTTTCTCGTCTTTGATTTTTATTTTTGCCTCGCTTGTGGCCACCTTTAGAATGGTTGGACTCTACGACCTGTTGAAGGGTTGCGTCCGGTGCCAAAATTGTGATATCGACTTCCGTTATGAACCCAGGGTCCAAATTTTCTAAATCTATACGGGGAAACCTGGGATGCATAGCCGGGGGAATTTCACTGTGGGTTTTTGTCCGGGACCCGGAGTCCTCAACAACCTGTCCCTGACTGCGACAACTCGATCTGCGTAGTTCAGCTTCTTTCGAACTTGGGGCTGCAAGGGGTTCGATTTCAAAGGACACTGAGCCTATCTGGACCGCGCCAGAACTCCACCCACGCCTGTTCAACTTAACGGAGAGTAGCGGTAGACCTAGATTCACAAAATTGGGGATGAGCACTTGAGATACGTAGTCGTATGACGGGGCAGAGGATACGTTCGTGCCGCCGGTGATGTTCAACTTGATAACTTTGCCGAGACAAAGGTTCGCTCACACGCCCGTCCTTACAGTGTAAACTTGCTCCAGCATACAAAAGGTATAGGTATAGGGCTTGAAAAATGAGGAAGATAGAACCAGGAGTTGTAAGCTGAATGTTGTATTGTATTCTGACTGGATGCCCGATGTCGCTGGAAGGGGTTGCAATCGCAACTTCTGCTGTGGAGAGGAAAACGCATCTTCCCCCTTCCCATCCTCAACGGATCGGGGATAGAATGTAATCTCTAACGATCCTACCTGAGCACCAACAATGCGCCCGTCACATACTTCGGCGAGGGATCGTATAGCGGCAGTATGCGAACTCCTTAAACCCCTCCGGCCGTGCCTTTTTCCCTCGTACGTTGTTAATCGTGACAGGCAATCCCGTCATCGCGGAAAGTGCAAGCACATTTCGGACGAGCTGGCCACCTCCCTCCAGTGTGCTCCCATCCAAGCGTAGCATCTCTCTGCCTGGCTTATATTCTGCCCCGAAGTCGACTAACCTTGGTGCAAAGCAACAAGAGAATGTGTTGGATGAGAGACGCTTGTAGAAAAACACAGAAATCAGGGGTACTGCTTTTTGAGTTACCCAACAATCCAACACCCCACCAATAATGGGTGTGTGGTAATTAGTTACTGGCAAGTTTTGAATTGAACTAGATATTGCACAGATATACTTTGTTTATGCAACATATCTATCCCATGAATATCAAGCAAGCGCATGGTCAACAAGACCAAGATATATCCTAAATATGAAATTGGAGGAACACAAACCATTTTATTCCATGAGAAGGTGACTGGGGTTACGTGTTAGTCAACGTCCGGTTAAACAAGTAACTATAAAAAGGGTGGTGGTGTGGCGGGCGCCTTTTGCCCCCATAACTAACTAGTAAGCCAATTTTCTTGTGCCGTCTAATAATATAGCTTTTAAACTTAATTACATTCTCACTCATAGGGTGATGTTCTAATAATTTAAAAACTTTTGAAATGGCATACAAGTCATAAAATGTATAACTTGATCAAACTTCATGAAATAGAAGGACCGAATCTTCCAATTCAAAGTAATTTATATGGTATATAATATCTAGGTAAAGGTTGGTAGAGGCTTCACAGCTGAGGTCAAACCATTATCTGGCATGGAGCCTCCTAGCCACCCTGGCTGCGATGCACATGAACGTCATAGATTTCAATAAACGAGCATCATCCGACCCAATCACAGTGACTATTGATAAGCCGATGCAGCTATAGAGCCGAGAGACAACGTGTGACAGAGAAATAGGGTGCTAGAAATTGTGAAGTCAATACAAAACACAGTTGAACAGAAGCGGACGGATGTTGGCTGGCCTGGACTCATCCACAGCCCTAAACCTAACTCCATATAGAGTCCCATCAGTGACTGGCCAAAGATCATCAAGAAGCGTTGCTCACCAATTAAGAACTTTCAAGTTCAAATTATGAAGTGGACACTATGCCGTTCGAGTTGAAGGGCCGCAGAAGAGCAGTGCGCAGTGATCACAATATGTCAGTGATGATAAACCACATCCCACGTCTGGGCCCGGTGATCCCTATGAAGTGAGAAAACACAGACACATCATATTCCACACCAGGACGCTCTTCTTCTTGAACCTCCTGCTCCCCATTAATGGCCATTAATTGAATCGACATGACATGATCGGGGAATTATATGTGTTTCAAAATGGATAACGCTGCATTCAAAGGGAACACTCCACAACTAAAAGAGTTGGAAAAACAGAAAACCCTAAGTTCCAGGAAATGTGAAGTGATCAAGAAGCACGAGTATATAAATAAAGTCACTGAGCCTTTTTTCTTTTCTTTTTTTTTTTTTCTTTTTTGTGGCGGCGTCTTAAGGTAAGCGGTGGGTAGTATAGTATGTACATGTACCTCATATCATATGCAAAATGTCTCGAATAAGTTCTTTATATTTTAGCATAAATGTAAGGGTAGGAAATGAAATAGTCGGTACAAGAAGCTAAGTCAAAAAGAGGCCAAGTTATACACACAGCACTGGCGAGGTGACGTAAGAGGATTTGGTTGGGAGGACGATGCTGTATTTTACAGAGCACCCAGCTCTTTCAGTTTCGAGATCATCCCGTCGACGTCTTCTACCTTCCCTCCCCCTTGACGGGCGGGAGGTTCTGTTGAAGATTCAATTAGTTTAGTCCACGAGGGAAATCGAGGCACAAGAAACCGCTTGGGAGAGAAATAGGGAACGTACCTGTGACTTTTAAAGTCTTCAACCTCTTCTCATCTACAATCTCAAAGTCCGCCAACGTTTTCTTCTCCAACGGCTTCTTCTTTGCCTTCATGATGTTTGGCAAGCTTGCATATCGCGGAGTATTCAGTCGTAGATCCGTAGTGATGACCATGGGCAACTTGGCCTTGAGCGTCTCCACACCTCCATCCACTTCCCTCGTAACCTCAATTGAACCCTTGTCATCCTTCACAACAAGCTTGCTCGCCTGTGTCGCCTGCGGCCAACCCAGGAGACCCGCCAGCATCTGTCCCGTCTGACCTTGATCACCATCAATAGCCTGCTTGCCCAACAACACCATGTTGATATTTTCCTTCTGGACCACGTTCTTCAGCAACTTGGCTACGGTGAGTGGCTCCAGGCCCGACTGGTCCGGTTTCTCGGGTACATCAACAAGGATGGATCGGTCGGCTCCCATGGCCATGGCGGTTCGGAGGGTATCGACGCATTTGGGCCCGCCGGCAGAGATAGCTAGGATCTCGGACACGGACATGGGTCCCTTGCTTTCGCGCAGGCGAACAGCTTCTTCTATGGAGAGTTCATCGAAGGGGTTGAGGGAATGCTTGACGCCGGCGGTTTCGACGCCAGTCTGGGTCTTGTTGATGCGGGGTTTTATCTGGAAAGATTGAAGTAGACGAGTTAGTGGTATAAATAAGAGTCAGCAAATAGCGTGAACATCCACTACATCGATTGGGATAGAGCAGCGGGAGTAATTCAAGCTGAGCACAGAGACTCCACACAGCTGTAGCATTGCGCAAGACACCAATAGGTTGAAAGGAGGGGTGGAATCCACATACTGCGAAGTCAATAACCCTCTTTACGGGCACAAGTATTCGGAGCGCATTTGCAGCCATTGTGGAAAGAAAATAGAGAATGTACAGGGATGCGGATTTGTGTATACAGCAGTCCTTGCCAATCTTGAGCCTGATGACGCAATTGCTGAAGCTCTGCGGCAGCTGTGAGTCGGGGCAGTAGTTTTGATGTGTCGCGGCTTGTGAGTTGAATGTCGTTCGTTGCTCAGCCTCCAAACCTGCCTCAGCCATAGAATAGCCGCGTTCGGATAACATCTCGGCTGCTGGGGGCTTCCCGATTGGTTGGATCTTGATCTGAGTCACGTGGTTCCCAATTTCCGCCGCAATTTTTAACCGGCCAGCGTATAAAAATGCCTTTTCAAAGGGTTTTTATTTTAGCAAAATCCTAAGGGTTTTTCCTTTTATGATACATACCCTGGATTTAATGTCAGCTGACACCCAAGGTCTTTTCGCGCCTGAGATCCAATATTCCCAGAAGAATGAAAACGGAGATTTTGGATAAATTTGTTTTGCATCTTGGTGTGCATACGGTTTAGTCATTCCATCCAGACCAAGTCAATCAGATTTGGCGTTATGTAAATCCGGGTGAAATTATTCAAACCTCTTGAGCTATAAAAGCTCAACTACTGTTATTTATATATTTGGGAAGAGATAGCGTTAGCCCACTGCAGACTTGGAGAGAGGCTGCTCGCGCCTTGGGGCTTGGACTGATATTCCATAATGGGAGTAATAGGATGAAACGCTTGGATTTGAGCGTTCGCGTCTTTTTTTATATTCTCATATTTCACCATGGACCTCTCTCTGTCGAATTCCTCTTCCATTTCTTTCGTTACATACGGCCAGTATTATGCTCTGGTTCCCACGGTCCTTCATAAATCTTCGATGTCAATTTGCGAGGTCCTCCCACACTCGAGTTACTTCTTGCCGCTGCTATTAGACACCAGTGCTCTAAGATATTAAGGATAGCCGTGTGGACGTTTACTGTGGATCTTGTTAACTATCAGAGATCTTCGCAGTTATTACTGCTCTATAATCAGCTGCTTTTCAAATCTGAAATCTATTATTGTACCACTGGCCCTTGGACGGATTGTTCCAATCCACTCTTCTCTTTAAAGCTCCGCAAACGGGGGCAATTGGGTGCAGATATCCGTCTAAAAGAGCCCATTAATAAAACATACACGTATATATATGGCCAGCCGTAAGTTTTCTCCATTTCACCGGCACACGGAACGCCTCACCATGTCTCCTGCTTATACTTTCTTACCTTCTCCATATTCATCAAATACTTTTCTGCCATTTCTCGACTATACGGCGCCTCCTCAGATACACTCCTCCCAAACATTTGAAAAACTTCAATAAGTGCCTCTCTAACTGCTTGTGGCATCTTTCCCGATGATCCACAAATATATACCGTGCCACCCAAATCATGCAATATGCTAAAGAACAACTCAGCATGCTCCCTAATGCGGTCTTGCACGTATATCTTCTCCCTCTGGTCTCTCGAAAACGCCGTGATTACCGTAAGGTCAAGGACCTTCTTCAACTCCTCCCATTCATCCTCGAAGAAGAAATCTGCTTTCCGATTTCGCCCACCAAATAGTAAGACAATGGGGCCTAAAGGCACGGGAACGTCTGCACCATGCCTCTGCCGAAACGCAGTTGCCATGGCGGCCTTTTCCCAGAGCATTGAACGCAATGGTGCCACCCCTGTGCCCGGACCGATTAATACAGTCGGTTCTAGAAGTTGTCTCATCGAAGAGTTGAGTCCGCCCTTTTGTACGTGGACTTTTAGGGAGCTCCCTGGCTGGAGTGCTGCGAGATAGCGTGTACATACCCCCTCACGCATCTTTTTGATAACAGTTTGGTATTTGACGACAGCGACAAGGAGGTCAAAACGCGTACTCACAGTTGTGCTGTTGCTGCCGGGTAAAACTTCGACTTTTTTCAACTTCCCACCGCTCGCCAGGCTGAATTGTCGGCCACGAAGGACGGGGAATACGGCGCAAACTTGTTGCCAAGGGATTTTCACGGAGTCAAACTCGTGGAGTACTTCAAGGATTGAGCGGCGGGGCCGCGAGGTATAGTCGTAAAATTCATCTATGTATTTTGGATTTGTAAACTCCTGCAGTCGCTCTCTATGCGTAATGTCGCTTGTAAAATGGGAAATATTGGAGAAAAAGGAGCGTCGTGGTATCGCCATGATGTCTAGGTAATCGGTCAGTAATGTTCGGAGGGTAAATCCAGGTGATCTCAGCAGGAACGGGATTTCGGGGGTGGACATGTCGGTATGCCCAACGTATTCAGCATTTGGGACGAAACATAGGGGTATGTCGGCTTGCTTCTGCCAACCCATGATAGATATCAGCGAATCTACGTCAGAAACGAAATTCCTCGGCGTTATTTGTAAAATATCTCCCGGCGAATATGGAATAGACCCCGGAGTTGTTAAAATTAAGTGACGAACATCTTGCCAGTGGATTTCTGGTGTGACTCGATTGTTCATTGTAAGTGTGGCAGATACAGTATTCGGAATGGGCCGCAAGTCGTGAGTGAAGTAGGGAGGGACGCTGGCGTCTCTCAACTGCCTTCCAGATTGTAAATCCGATATCGCCACATCTGGATATGAAGAGGTGACTTCCGGTTTACTTGAGTCTCGGCGTGCAAGCACCCATTTTGGTGGTAAACGGACGTCATCCGGAATGGGATGTTGACCAGGAGCAAGGGGGTATTTATCCAACAGATGCTTCCGCAAATCCAATGACCACGGAATAAATGTTCCGTCGAAGCTAGAATCATTCATCAGAAGGAGGAAATGGAAGTTTGTAGAACTGATATAATGCATACCCCTCTGGGTGCTGCTCATCCGCTTCGCCGCACGGGTACAATTCGTTTGCGCCAAGCTGTAGCAATCTCTTGTAGAGCTTTCGCGAAGCCCAGTTGAACCTAGAACACCACACCAGAATGGTTAGTAATGAGCTATGATACGTTTAGCAGTAAGGCCTACTTTGGGTACGAGCTATCTCCCAATCCAAATAGAGCAAAATTTACGCCATGAAGGAATGTTGGCGGAAGCCGCTTCAACAGCAACGACTTCCAGAAAACCTGAGCGTTGGCTGGGAAATCTCCCTGTCCCGTAGTCGAGACAACGAATATCGCGATATCGTAGTCATGAAGAGACTCCTGGAATCGATATGAGTTAAATGTTTTTGCATTTTGGCACAGGGCCCAAGTCGCACCGCTTTAATGGCATTGAGTTCGCAGACGCGCGCTGTGAAGCGCAGCCTTTCTGCAAGGCGCCCAAGTTCATCCGCAACATCCCGGGAATTTCCAGTCTCCGAACCGTAGAGAATTATTGCCGTTCTAGCAGAGGTTTTACCCAAGCTGCTGGAGTTGGTGGTAGCCATTTATGCTGGATCATGGGGCTCAGATGACGATAGATTTGGCATGATGTTGAAGATTAGTTAAATAACTTAGTTAATTATTAATTAGTTACCAGAAAATATTCCAATATATCAGATACATTGCACCGCAAGCCCACGTATGTATGTATATACACGTACAATCGAGCACCTAAAACCGATGATCCAAATCAACAGAATATTACATGTAATAATGTCTACGCATAATGCTATTACGCACAATTGTAGGAACTGTAAAATAATCCGTAAAGCAGAGAACTAATAATGACAAATTCAAGTTCAGCTTATCGCCTGTATCGTACATATTCTTCCAATCTAAGGGAATCAACACTATGGGTATCTGAAAGGCAAAACATAAAAGGGAACATATGAAATGCAGAAGGGCATGCATAGTGAAAGGAAAGGGCAAAGAAAATTATCCTCATAAATACGTATCATTATCCCCCTCTACTCCACCTGCGTCAAACACATCCCCATCATCATCCCCGCCATCAAAATACTTCTCTGCATTATAATCCCCCACCATATCTTCCTCATCATCCTCAAAGTCATCGTCAACAATTTCCTCCTCACCCTCATCCTCATCCTCATCCTCATCCAATAGATCTTCATCAACCCCTTCAGCCCTCTTTTTACGTTTCCTGCCAGCCTCCGACCCTTCCTCATCATCCTCACCAGCTTCTTTTTTCTTCCGATGGGTACCGGTTTCTTCTTCTTCTTCTTCTTCCTCTTCCTCCTCCTCATCATCTTCTTCCTCGAATCCACGCTTCTGTCCGCCTCGTAACGGCGAACCAAACCAGTTAGCGCCGTCAGCTTGCAAACCGACATATTTGGGGTCAAGTGTCGACCACAGTTCTTTTGGGAAGAAGTTCATAGCTGTGAAAATAGCAGAAACGAAGAACTGGCGTTAGCCTGGAAGATGAACAGTGTAAAGAGATTTAAAAATAAAAAATAAAAATAAAAATAATATATTGTCCGTACCAAACGGCCTCCCCCTGAGTTTCGGTAACGTTCGAGTCTTTTTCAAATACCTCTGCCCATATGTCGCCGTGCCTTGAAAAGGATCAAACTGCGCTTTCCGAGCCGCCGCTTCCCCTCCTTTCTGGAATGAAGGTGGTGTGCTCAAAACCGTATAATAGGGTCCATCATGAATCATTTCTCGTAATCGTCTATAATAGTCGACTTGGCTTCGCTCTTCTTCCGTAAGCGGTTGGGCAACTGGTAGTGAATATTTCTATGTGCAACGTTAGCAACGGAAGGTTTTACTTTCTTTATTCTGGGCCAGTGAGTTGAACTGAAAATAAAAGCATATTGAATGGAAATAACAACAGAAAGGTATTATAACTGACAGGAAACAACGGCGTGGGAGCAGTGTCAGATTCTCCTCCACCTTCTGAATCCCACCAGAACTCAGCAGCAGGCAACTTTTTTCCTCGTTTCGACATGAAGCGTGACATGTCTTCTCCTAACGTTATTTTTTTTGGCCTTCGTATGCTCACTCAAGCTTCAAAACAAAATGTATTGGAAGCACCGGTTGCGGATTTGAGGATTTGAGGATCGCAAAGCAAGATAAAATGGGTTTTTTAAAACAGGAATCTTGGAATATTAATTAAAGAATTAGTTACAAGATGGCATGGAATAATTTCACTGGTCTCTCTGAGACACAGTCCTTGGATAAAATTATAATGCTTTGAGAGCAGTTGGATTGGTTTAATAGTTAGGTCAACTTAGTGATATTGCCGTATCTGGCCGCCTTCTACAGGAGCCCCCGCCACTTTAACCGAAGGTGCGCTTTTGCATTCCAACTGCAGTTTATAATTTGTCTTTCGAATGTTGAGACATATTTGATCAACACTAAGAATTTGGCGTCTTATCTACTTCTCAGTGTTCAATAGCAGTGCATGTTTGTGTGTGATGAAGCAATGGCTCAGTTTGATAGCCCTATCGTTGTTGGTTCTCAACGAGAGAAATATTTTGTGCAGAACCAAAGTTAGATGTCCAGTTTACATGTAGTATGGGGTGGTCTTATTATATTACTAGATAACCCCGGGTTCCTGTTCATTGGGAATTCAATCTATGAGGTGTTTATCGTAGCGAAACATCTCGAGAGTTTGAACGGTATTTAAGAGCTCGGTCAAACCAATTGCAATAGTAACCTCTTTTGTTTATAAATGGTAGGCTTTTCTGAAGAGCTCATAATGGTAACCGAAAAATTCATAAATGCATGTTTCAACATCATAGTTCTAGAGCATCCACTCGGCTTCCAACCTGGCTCTGCGGACCCCATGGACCATCAGCAACGCGCCTATTAAGCGTTCGTATAATGTCGCCAAACTCCTCCAACCCCCCGCCGGCTTTCTTAACTTCATTCTGCAAGGTAACAAGAGCATCAAACTTGGCCGTTGCAATTTTCCAAACAGCACTTTCCGTGTCTCCAGCCCCACCCGCAACGAAATTGGCATATGTCTGCGGGGCCTTGAAAAGGTAAGGCAGGACTTCCGTTAAGGCTGGTGGTGCGAGAAGTGCCCACAAGCCAGAAGGGGGGAGTTTGCCTTGAACTGATGAGCCAAGACGGGAAAGCTGGTCTTCTGTGGGAAGGGCAAATCGACGGTGGGTCAGAGGGACCGAGTTCCCATTACTTGATGGAACGACAACCCAGTTTGCTGTTAGCACAGATTTTATAAATGCAATGGCAGCAAGCGCAGTGTCTTGCATGGCAACTATATCAGCAGCTGCAACAATGTTGCTCCAGAGATCTGGGTGATCATTAAGATACCGAAAAAATAGGACACGAGAAGCTGCAGCTTCTACTCGGGGACTGGTTGGGTTTTGGTCAAGTGAAGTTGAGACTCCGTAAGATGGCTCTTCGACGGTTGAAGGCCCTTTGAATATTCTGCCCAGAGCATCCATCACATGGCTGTTTACAGGTTTAGAAGGGAGGGAATTCAAGGGATTAATCCATCTGTTGCCTGCCTCCACTAGCATAATTCGGGGTAACGACGCAAGTATGTCAAGGTCCCCAGTTGGAATTGGGCCATGCGCCCATTTAACAGATTCAATATCAAACGCCTCTGATATCCGAGAAAGTATCTTATCCAGGAAGGGCTGAGGTTGCCCAAGCAGATGGTTTGGATATAAAATCGCATACTGGGAAATATACCCCATAGCCGGCCCGGAAAGGAACGGGGCAGACATGGAGTCAAGGGTCGAAGGGTCCAAATAATAATTCATTATCTTGGTGTGCAGACCTGACGATATGAGGTATTCGAGAGAGGGTGAGGAGAATAGGGGATATGAATGAGTCTTGACTCCAGCACGCTGGCAGAGGCCTGGAGCACTAATCCGAAGTAAGTCGCGGAGAAACTGAATATATGTCATGTGCAACAGAATATCGTCTGGATCAATCATTTGCGACGCGGTAAAACTCAACAGACTGGAACATTGGAATATGGATTCGATATCGGGGAAATGCGATGTCGTAATTGCACTCCAGTCTAGAGACCCTGCTTTTATAACTAGATCCATTAATCTGCCTTGAGCAACTGACTTGTCTCGCCTGCTCAACCCGGGTTCTGTAGCGTCAAAGCTGCAAATGGAAAACAGGCGTCCATAGACATGTCTGTCGTTAAACACTCTCCTCCACATCAGCCCCTGGCCTCCTATCCTGGCTTTATTTTCTCCTTCCGCCAAGACATCGCTATCAAAATTGTCGACATGGTCGATTTCTAGCAGACTCCAGAGAACATTAAACGCTGCTTGGGCGACGGCTGTTTCAGGTGTGGTGAGCCAAAGTTCTACTAGAGCAACCACAAGGGCCGGGTTTGCAGAAACAACCGCTGCATTAGCAGGTGAATTACTAGCTTTTGCTAGGAGAGATAGCGTAAGAAGATTGACTGGAGGAGATGGGGCCTTGATGCCAGCCAAAAGATTCAAAGGCGGGTCAATTGATTGAATTTGGTCAAAGGAAAGGTATGACGCAGCTTTGGTGGCTAAGCTTGTTAAAGGAGACGGGTCTTCTTTCAGTACAGAGAGAACCTGAGAAACCCGGGTGAGAAGAGCAGAGGAAACGCTCTCACTGGTACTAACGATCAATTCTGCCATGAGTTTATCCAGGATGGGAACATTTAGAGGAGTGGAAGGTTCCTGGATGATCCGGTCGAGATGGTCCCTCACGGCATCGAAAGAGGGGGGAGTTTCCATGACTTCCCCTGACCCTCGTAAGAACGATAAAAAGGCATTCAAGATCCTCGCAAGAGATGAGGTTGGTGGATGTGGTCCTTGATGTTGTTCTGGATGATGTTCTGGATATTACTGTTCTTTGGAGCACTCGTGACGCAAATAAGGCTAAACACTTAGCTAAAACACTCAAATAACAGGGCAAACAAAGCAAACACAGTAAAGTTAGTTAACTAGTTGACTCCGGGTCGCCTTGTGGAGCTTCCGCCCCTACGAAGCCGTAGTATGGATGTCGGATCTACAGACAACAAATTACAATCAAGACAGAATCTGTGGTTATACTTTAGCACTTCAGTATAACATTCATTTGGTTTGGTCAGAGAAACACTTTGTGAGGGCGCCTGGACTATGGCGGCATCTAATCCCCTGATCTCCCTTAAATCGTCCGATTCGGGCTTTCAAGTCCTCCTCCATCCACTCGTGCTCCTCAATATCTCCGATCATATCACCCGGCATATTGCAAGACATCAAGAAGGGCCAATTGTAGGAGCGCTTATGGGGCAGCTAAAGGGCCGAACTATCAGTCTCGAACATGTTTTTGAGTGCAATGTGGTAACTTCCGCAAATGGAGATATTACGCTACATGAGGCCTGGTTTGAAGAGAGACTACAACAATGTCTGGCCGTACTCTGCACCCAAATATTTTCTCGATAAAGATTACTAACTGCTCTGCCTCTGCCTTACAGTTAGAGGTGTGCATAAGGATCCTCCATTGGACCTTGTTGGATGGTTCACATTGACCCAACCCACCGGACCAAGCTCAGCACTACTACCTGTTCATCAGCATATCCTCGAGAAATATAACGAAACAGCAGTTCTGCTTGCATTTGATGCTTTAGGACTTGAAAGTAGCGCCTCTCGCACTACAGGTAAACTTCCACTTGCAATCTACGAGTCGACATATGAAGAAGAAAATGTTGGTGATGGCGATAAGGTGATGCAGGTGGACGGACAGCAACCTAGCTTGACACTGAAGTTCCGCGAGCTGCCGTATTCAATAGAAACAGGGGAGGCGGAAATGATCAGCGTGGACTTTGTTGCAAGAGGAGGAGGCAATGCTACTGCTATCGAGGCGAAAGATGCAAGTTCGACTTTAACGGACAAGGAGAAGCAGAAACTCCCAGCTGGTGAGGGTGGGAAAGATGGGAAAACTACAAAGCCAGGCGCAGGAAAGAAACCTGACACGGATGAATTTTCCTCACTCTCCAAGGAAGATGAAGATAGTGAGTGAACAAGAACAGGAAATATTGAAGCTGGCCCATTAATCCCAATTAACCATTACTTAGTAATTGCCAATCTCAACACCCGCCTCACCGCCATCAAAACCCTTGAATCACGCCTCCGCCTCATAGAAGCATACCTCTCCCGTATACCTTCTAAAAATAACGGCAATAAAACAGAGTCTATCTCTAACTCTTCCCCCCGGGTCCATCACCCCCTCCTGCGGTCGATCCACTCCTTGATCTCCCACCTATCGCTCCTAACTCCGCAGGAATCAGACAAATTCTCCATTGAATCTCTTGCGCAAGCTAATGACGTTGCATTGGTCGCATTGCTCGGGCAGCTCGGACAGAGCGTGCAAGGGATGCGTGAGCTAGGCAAGAAATTTGCAGTTGTTGATACAGCGCGACAATATTCTGAGGCAAAGAGGCCAGTCACTGGCGTACAAAGAATTGATGAGGAGTTGTTCCTTCGTCAGTCGACCGGTGGAGGAGGGATTGGTGGAGGTTCAACATGGGATTGACGGGTGAGACTGGTTTGATTTCTTTCTGTTCTTTGAAAAGAGGAAGACATTATCCCAGGTGATTCTCCGTAGTAGAAAAAACATGACACGGACTTTACGTAGGTTGCTTTATGACTTTAGGATGACCCCTTCTCTCTTGCTGTGTTTTATCGAACCTTGCAGCAAGTTTTGTTTCGAATTCAGTGCTCTTGACCAAATAGAGATACCTTACGAAAATATCAAACGTTTGACGGCACGCTCAGGTCGCCATAATCTTAAGTATTCTCCAAGAACTATAAATCCTCAAGGCCTCGCTGTGGGTGAGCTTGGTTCCTTGTTGCATTACAGAGAAGGTAAGACAGGGAGAACCCCCCCCCCCACAAACAATAAAAACATATATATATAACTAAATAATAATAAATAAATACATAAATAAATAAATAAAAATAATCACTTCATAATACAGCATAGACTGATATACAGGTGTGTGATATACGGGTGTATGAAGAAACTAGTTGCCCCAAGTAGATAAGATTTGGAACCATTCAAGGTCAAGCATCTCTCAATGAATGTTCTCCTAGTGTTTTCTTGTGTATTTGCAAGCCACAAGAGGATTAAGGGTATCATCAGTTGGTATCGAACCTTCCGGTTCATTGGGGTCCTGATTTACTTACGTCCCAGTTTCTTCAATGAAGATGTTAAGAATGATGCGAGGCTGATTGAATCCAAATTTAGACAACGTTCATCTCAGGGACATCGAGTTCTGAAGAGCTTGCGATTCTGGGGACATGTCACGACCCCAATAGACTGAAGGTAATACATTTAACAGCAAATGCATCATTGTGTGTAGTGGGAGAGGAGGAAAGGAAAGGCCAAAAGACGAATACACAATTACTTATTCTTCATTCCAATTTTCAAGTCTCGCCAACTATCAAGTAGCCGGCAGGTACGATTATTGAAAAGGGAAAAGGGAACAAGATAGGACAGCGGAAAATAAAAATAGAATAATACACGAGTGAAACAAAGAGCCTCGTACAAACACAAAGAGGCATACACGCTAGAAGGATATTATTCCTTTTAGTGTGGAAAATATCATCACGTAGAAAGAAGAGAAAAAATACAAAACCCGAACTGCTCGTGTCCTTATTATAGCCCAATCCTAACCAGCCTATCCCTAGTTGAAGTTGAGTGACAAATAATGGGAATACATTCCATGATGAGCAAGGAATTGAAAAAGAAACGTAAGAAAGGAAGGCCTCCAAGCAAGGAAATGGAAGATATTAAAGAGGAGCCGTGTGCCAGTGGAGGGGAAAGCAGCGAAGCTAGTAGGGTAGATAGCTGAACGGAAACTTGCTCGCACATGTAGGTACCTATGTCGGGCTTCACTTCGTTTCCCCTCCCATTCCAAAAACAATCGCTCATCAGCGCCAACTATCTCTAAAATCTCCTCGGTCCCTAAACCGTGCACCCCTGCCACCCCTCCTCCGTCCACGGCTTCCATATTCCGGACCCTTGTCCACGAAAAAATCTGTGTCTTCGAAAGTATATTTTCGCATCTCATCAGTTCCACGTCGGGGTTTAGGTCCAGCCCGGTAAAGATCCGCAAACCGATCCAGTCGCTTTTCCGATACCTCTAGTGGGACAGGTTGATAATATAGTTTCGGCTTCGCAGCTGTGGAGAGGAACCGGTCATCAAGTGCCTTGAAGCCCTCTCCTGCGTATCTAGTGGGCGCAGCTGGCGGTGCAGCGGCTTTGTTGTCCCGAAACATAGGACCGTGTGTTGCACGGGGACCTAACGGTGGTTCCCGACCTAGGTTTTGAGCAGGATCACGATGATGGAGAGCTGGAACTTGGTTTGCAGGCCCGACTTCTTGGAGGGAAGCTGTAATACCCTCCTCGGCCTCGTCGTAGACAACTTCCCAACGTGGAGCCCCTCTCGCGCCACTGCCTGAATCCTGTTCAATTCCGATCCATTCTTTGACTTTCTCTTCGGGGATGAAATCAACCCAGAGAGGTTTTCGTGTTCGCTCATCAGGCCAAATGGTTCCATGAAGTGCAGAGCGAACCCGAGAGGCTGCGGAAACGTTTTTAAAAGTAACAAAGCAATGTGTCTTTATGGAGTCCAGGAAGAAATCAAGAACGATATCAGGGTCAACTAACGAAGTCGGCGGAGTTGCAAGGGACGCAAGATGCTTTTTGAGGACTGTAGGCTGTAAAGGGCGCATGAAATTGCGTATGTACAAAGATGTTGTTGCTGGGTGAAGCGCGGGCGACACAACGCGATCTTCATCTTCCTCTCCTGCTAGAGCTTTAGGAGATGAGGAGCGTGGTTGACCACCATTTACGACGGGGAACAAATCCTTGAAACGAGCATCTCCGGCCACTTGCTTGCTGACGTGCTGCTCCTCCGTTTTATCGGCATCGGGTTCGCCTTGGGTTACAGTAGCTGTTTCTGTGGCCTCGTTACCTTCTTTGTGGGTAGCCGGTTCGGGCTGGGGCGCGGGTTTTTGCTCCTCAAGGCCTTCAGATACCTCGGGGCCCACACCTTGCATCTTTGCGTCTTCTGGGGGAGCAATTTCCTCAGAAGCGACAGGCTTCTCAGCCTGGACATCCTCACCCAATACAGCCCTCGGAAATCCACCCTCAGCTTTAGCTTTCTTCAAAGAGGAGGTTTTAGGTGACGGGGGAGGGCTCTGACTTCGCCTTTTCCGTTTCCGGGAGTCTTCTACAGAATGCTCTCTCGAATCGGTTTTCTCTTCAGAAGGGGCCTTAATAACAGGTTCTGGTTCTTGAGAGGTGGCAGAAACAGGTGCCGCGGTCTCGGTTTCCGCTGGCTCTGTCACAGATTCCTGTAACTGCGCTGAATTTTGTGTCTCGGGTTCTTGACCCGGTTCCTTCGCTTCGAGGGACGAGCCCTGAGCAACTTTTACTCCCTCCACTTCATCTTTCATCACAATATCCTCAGTTGGACCACGCGACGCAGGTTCCGATGCTTCTGCGGTTGCTTGTCCTTCCGGTCCAGATTTTTCAGGGACCCGATCCGGTACACTGAATGGCTTTTGCTCGTTGACAGTCACATCTTGAGTTGATTCAACAGGTTCTTTCGGTTCCTGCGCATGTTCTTCAGGGGGGCCGCTGGAGGGAGGAGCTTCGGTGGACGGTTCGGGCGGTCCTGTGGAATCTGCTTGAAGCAGTCGATCAATGAAATTCTGCTTGACTCTTAGGCCAGTCTGGGGAATGCCGCGTCGTTTCAGCTCAGCCTTCAAATCGGTAACTTTCCAGCTCGAATAGTCCGTCATGGCGACGAAGGGAGAAGAGGGATAATATGGAAATTATACAGTTGTGCAATGTGCGCGATGGTTTCGCATAACAATAAATCGGAACAACGAATGGTTAGCAGGCCATAGCTGATAGTTGTTGGTTATCCAGCGCGTGTTGTTGAAGTCGAAGTGATGGCAAATAATAAACCAAAAGTGACGCCGGGGAAATTTACCAAAAGGGACTAGCGCAATTATCCAATGACATAATCAAATAAGCATGACTAGTTGATCACTAGGCCTCATTAGGAATAGCGGCTGGACAAATCAAGATAAATGACTTTTAAGCCGCATCCGACTACTGCCAGGAACAGAAACGTAGATATATAAACTGACAAGGGACAACAAATGAGAGCAGAAATTGTTCAGCCAGGGTCCCATTACTAATTTCGAAATAAAATGGATAGGGGGCAAGGTGTTCAAATCTTTATAATGAAATGCAATGCTAACGCTAATGCATCGCTCATAGTTATTCAAAACCTCACGTTTTCTTACATGAACCATCCACAAAGCCCGTCCAACAACGCCCAAAATATCACATGGAACACCTGACTATCATCCATAGGCGTGTTATCATCGCAGACAATGGCTGGAGACGGGGGCAGTCTTGTCAATTGCTGATACCCAACTCCACACCGGTGATTGTGGTGGACTGGGCGGAGGAACTATGCCTCGAGGAACCGTCATAGGAGGCAGGGAAGGTGGTTTATTCTCGCACGGCTGGGGATATCGAGTTCCAAAGAAGATAAGTTGTTGCGGTCTGGCAATTCCGTTCCCTCCACAACGGGCGTAACAGGTGCTGTGTGGTAAGCGGTGGAGTCTATCACTTCTCCATTATTCGTGCCATAATCTGTGACCTCGCTTTGTTGCTCGTCTGCGACAGGCCTTTTGGCTGATGATGATCTCGTTCGGCATCCACCCAGGCTTCTGCTATTCCTGGTTCCTCTCTGGCATGATCTGATACCCGTATATTGTGGCTTTCCAGTTTAATTTTCATTCGTACCAATTGGTTTCATCGCAATCCATTTGATCTCAATAAGTCCGGTAGTGGAATGAGGTTACACCTAGTCTCCACACATAAGGATGATCTATCCAACCCATCGCCAACATTCCCTTAAACCTCAGAGGATTAAAGTAATACCTTTCAGTTTAGGTGGATTCGTTTGCGGACGTGAAGGGTTTCGGCCATCGGAAGATGCGAGCAACAGCGACGAAAGTCTTAAATATTGTGCACCATAACGCGGCGAGACTTGAATTTGAAGAATATGGAGTTTTGACGAGGTTTTCTATAATCTCACTTTTATTCATAAAGTGGAACTTAATGCAAATGCCGTTTATGAACGCGGGTTGAAAGTTCCAGGGATCACAGCAACATGTGAGGAAGCCCCCATCCCCAAAAAAAGAAAAAACAATTGAAAAAATTGAAAATGAAAGAAAAAGAAAAAGAAAAAGAAAAGAAAAATTGCGAAAGGTGGTACCGATTTTTTATTGATTTTTTTTTCCCCTTCCGTTGTTTCGCTTTTTCCGCGGAAAGATAGAGGCATCAAATTCTAGAAGGTAGGATAGAAAAATCGCAGCATCGGGTCTCTGGCCAGCCGTTGAGCTGATTTTGACATGGTTAGGCTCCGTCGTTCAACTACTACTTCCAATATCGTATATACGGACCATTTCACGTGAGTTGGAGAGCAAAAGCACAACGTTATCCACGTACCTAACTTGAACAGAAAACTCTCTTTTCCCCTGCTGCACTTGATGTTATTGACAGGGAGCACACTCTTCACCCCGCTGGAAAGCCCATGCTATGACGAATCACTTCGGCTCCTATGCATACTGAAACCGCTCTATGCCAACAGCTTAAGCCGTTCTGGAGCTCCACTGTTCAAATGGAGAGCTTGCACCTCACTTGTTTAACTAAACACTAAAAACAACATTTCATTTGTCTCCATCTATTTTGACTATCTATAACAAGGTTCGGAGCGTCAAATATTCGGATATCACTCTTTTTGCAATGGGTGGATCCATCCATTCGCCGTCATGTCCGCGAATTGATATACCGTTTCCACGGCTGAGGGTGATTCCATGGGCATTTGCTCGTTCAACGACTCGTAATCTGGGTTGGAGATAAATCTTTGTCCCTCTGCAACCCTGTTTGGTTTTAAGGGGGGGGAGGGGGGAAGAAGGAAACAGAGGAAATGTTTTCGAGTATAAACAGCAGTCCCATTTTCCTTCACGGAGCTCTGGTCCTTTTTTTTTTTTGTAAGGCCCATGTTATAATCAACTTGAATAAAGGAAATTGACTGAATTTGGGCGGAGTAGTTTATACAGAACTTGCAAGTCGGTAGGTAACTAGTTACTCTATTGGCTACTTATTTAAACTTCAACGTTCATCTCACCGCTTTTTAACGCGCCGGTCAAACATTCTTCCGCCGATTTCTGCCACCCCACAGATCGCTGCGTCTGATTGGCCCGATATGGCATCATTCTGTGGGGGTTCGGGAAACTTTGCCTCAGCCCGTTCCACTCATATTCGACGTTTTGTGTCCCTTTGCCGGGCCATTTTCCCCTTTCCTTGTCATCCATCCACCCGTTACAGATATTTCTTCAGTCATAATTTATACCCATCCTACCCCTATTCTCCGTGGGTATCCAGCCATTCGAGGCAGATTAGGTGCGGTCAATGCGCCTCTGTTTGCCCCAAACCACCAGACAGCTCTTCAATATGGTCACTTCGGATACTGGGGCGGACAACGGTTCCTCACATACCCCTCGATACCGTCAGTATTACACTCTTCCCAACTCCCATTACCCCTCCTAAATATCTATCTCTCCATCTGAAAATTCCTCGTGGAAGTTGAGCAGCTACTAAATCCCGTAGAGAGAGTCGCGTCGCAACCTGAGAATCCCTTCTCCGGTCTCATTACGGATCAAACCATCGCTATCATCCCTTCCTTCACCCTTGAATCCGGAGTCACACTACGCAATGTCCCTGTCGCATATACAACAAGAGGAAAACTATCAGCCTCTCGAGACAATGTATTGGTCATATGTCATGCCCTGAGCGGCAGTGCGGACGTCAGTGACTGGTGGGGGCCTCTGCTTGGTGGCCCTGGTCAGGCATTTGATGTCACGAGATTTTTCGTCGTTTGTTTGAACAGCCTTGGTAGTCCATACGGCAGTGCAAGTGCAGTTACAAGTAGAGATGGAGATAAGAATAAGGGAATATACGGCCCTGAATTTCCGCTGACGACCATCAGAGATGACGTTAGGTAAGGCCCTCAAGGGGCTACCGGTAGAATTTTTTTTTCTTTTCTTCTTCTTTTTTTTTCATGGAGTGGGCCGGCTGACCAGTTCCTTTTTTTCTTTTATTATTTCTTTCTGAAAATAGAATCCATAAACTCGTCTTGGATGACTTAGGAGTTCGACAAATTGCATCAGTGGTGGGAGGTTCAATGGGCGGTATGCTTGTTTTGGAATATGCATTTTTTGGCAAGGACTATGTGCGCAGCATTGTCCCAATCGCAACCTCGAGTCGTCACTCTGCATGGGGTATAAGTTGGGGGGAGGCGCAGCGACAGAGTATTTACAGCGATCCAAAATACGAGGATGGATACTACTCATTCGATGACCCTCCCGCAACTGGCCTAGGCGCAGCTCGCATGTCTGCACTTCTGACATATCGAAGTCGAAATTCATTTGAATCTCGCTTTGGTAGAAATGTCCCTGATCCGTCCAAACGGCAAAATATCAATGGCACATTACGTCTCCCTACACCACCCAACGAACACTGGGCAGTTCACAACGATGGCCATAGGAGCACTCGTCCTCCACCAACCCCGAACAATTCAGGGCCGGAATCAAACGAGGTGTTCACGGATCCCCAGTTTAACGGTGCAACTCTCTTCACCGCGCCCTCATCACCTACCTCAACAACTCCTTCCGAACGCTCCTGGCGACCTACAACATATTTCTCTGCACAGTCATATTTGCGCTACCAGGGCCAAAAATTCGTCAAGCGATTCGACAGCAATTGCTACATAGCCATCACGCGAAAACTTGATACACATGATGTCTCCCGGCATCGTGCGGACCCAGACTCCACAACCCCCGTTAAAGACGCCCTGTCTCAAATCCAACAACCCGCACTCGTAATTGGTATTGAAAGCGACGGCCTGTTCACCTTTGCTGAACAACAGGAGCTTGCGGACGGCATTCCCAATTCACGCCTGAAGAGTATCGATAGCCCCGAAGGCCATGATGCTTTCCTCCTTCAATTCGAGCAGGTGAACAGATACATTCTTGAGTTCTTTAGAGAGGTCCTGCCCGACATTATGAACGCGTCTGGCAATGATGCCGATGGTGTTGTGGATCGAGTGGGCCAGTTGACCAAGAGCAGCACCTTTGGTGAGGCAGAGGTGGAAGATATCACTGCGTGGTGAATTGGCTATTGGCTATATCCGTGGATATATGTCTTGGAAGGAGGTGGGTATTCAAGCTACTCTATTCTTGTTTTGACAACTCTTCTTTAAATATTTTTTTGCGGGTATCATATACGGAGGTGTAGATCCAAAAGTTCCTGCAACCCCTTTCTGCGCGAGAATGCTTGGCTATATCATTTTGTATCGCTCTTCCATAGCAATTTATATGTAGGGTAGCAGAACATTAATTTATTTGACAATCTGAAACTGTTAAACTGTTTGAGTTTCCGAGCTCGAGTTGGGCAATCGTGTCATCATATGCCCTGATAATTGAATCGTATAAGCGGTTTGGGTCTTGGGGAGTGCCAACAATAAAGGCGATCCCGGTAGTTTAAACACGATGGATCAAGAGGGCTACCATGCTTGAGTGCAAGGAGACACATTGCTGAGAGCACAGTATCGTCGGTGTTTCAATGACATTGAGCATCCGTTGGGTGCCACTGACTTCCCCGTGTCCTGGTGCGTCTTGCGGCTTCACAGCAGACCCAGATCCTCCCCTTCGCGTCCGACCACGAATGCCAGATTGCGACGGCGTAAAGGAAGGACGTGTGCAAGGAGATGAGGAGTGGGAGCTCATCGATCGGTGTTACGTCTTCAGAGGGCCGGCATCCAGATCGCAGCGTCATCGAGATGGGAGGAAGGTTACGGGATCGCTTGCCTCGGTGCGGGAGGGGACGCACGGTTTGTGTGAATGGAGTCTGCTCCAGTATTCTCAGAATACTGAACTGAAGATGGATCGTCCAGGATGTAAAAGAAGACAAAGGCTTCTCCAGGGCATATATAGCCATAACGCACCCATGTAAGAGAAGAGCTGCAGTGGTGACTGCGGCAATGAGCCGTCTACAGCAGAAATCCAGTATCATCAGAGTCCTGACAAATCACATCCGGAGCAGGACGGATCTCTTTGGCCAGTCCTGTGGTCATCCCAGCCTGCCTGAGTTTGTGAGGTGCCTTATATTCAATCACAATCACAGAAATGTATTCATTACCCTCCTGTTGGTAGACACAGAATCGATCTGCTTGGCAACTCCTGTAGCTAGAGTAGGCTCCTTTCTCTTCTGACTTTTGCCTCTTAACTTTGGCTGATGATCTGGTTTCTGTCACACGGTCGGCGGACATTTGCCTAACCTCTTCACTCAGTAAATTCTTCTGTGAATGAGTCGGTCAGATTTATATGCTCTCAGAGGAGACTGAACCTCGCAACCCAAGTACCCTTTCTGAGACTCTCATTTTCAGTGATTCGGGCAAATATGGTGCAAACTTGATTTTCCAGTGTCGTTCGCAGTATCGAAGTTCCCATTCTGAGGTGATTGGCTTGATGAACCGGCAGACATACTCAAGCTGACGTTTCGATGGAAACAGCTTTCCAGTCCGAAATGATGAATTATCATTAATTCTCTTCCACACCATCATCTGCTCGTCAATGAACGTGTCCCATAATGTGAAGTGTGAAGGAGCCCTCTCCAATTAGCTGGCTCTGTTACAACACCATGGGTTATTCTTGCAGGATCTGTCACGATGCGGACTGAGAGCAAAAGCTCATGGCAGGGGTGGAGGAAGTGTGGCAATGTTGTAGGCTGCGAATTCGCTTCTGCTTCTTCATATCATCACTGCTCCTCCTAGCGAAGTTGTTTTTCCTTTTCACTTTCGCTTCAGCTCTTTCTCTTAGTCGTCTCACTCTTTCAAGTGATAGCTCTTGTTATCTGCTCTCCATTCTGGTGACTGGAAGCGCAATTCCCGCCTGTTCGCAGTGCAGTGATCGATTCCACGAGAATCCAGCCACAGCTTACCAAAGTATCTTGAGCTAGAGAAACTTGAAGTCCCATGATAGAAATTGGGATAGTTGCTCTGTAAAGGCACAACATCAGCATTTTGTTGGGAGGAATGGTGGACCTTGTGTGTTTCGCCAACCCAACAATTTTCACCACTCAATAATTTTATAAATTCCACCTAATTCTTCAACTTCAAATCTCATCATCATGGTTAATGAAGCTGCAATTCAGCTTGCAATTGAAGATTTAAGATCACAAGAATTTCCAAATTATAAGTAAACTTCTTTGAAATAAAAAATCAGTCTGATTATATTGATATAATAATATAAAAATAAGCAGATTTGTAAATCTAAAGCAACATTAAAATATTATTAAAAATTAATCAACTTATCAAAAAAAACACTTATTTAGTACATAAATTATTTAATAGATCATAGTCTTGCTTTTATATCTCAAATAATATAAAATTTAATAATTGAATTCATTAAAAAATCAGTTAAAAAATATTGAATAAATTAATTTTATTAATATTATAAAAAATTTTAAAAAGTACTTATTATATATAATTAATTAAAAGTGATAGATTGTAGATAATTTTAAATACTTTGAAGATTATTTTAAATAGATTGATTAGATATTTACTATCTTTTATCAAATTTATATATTATTTCTAAAATAATTTAATTTCTAATTAATTTATCTTATTATAACTGTTAGGGAGTAAATACAAGCTGCATAAGAAGAAAACTCTCTGCATTGCTAACTGCTATATAACAGAATATTAAACTTGATAGGATAAAAGAAGGTGCTAAGACCTGCTCAGATTATAATATGTTGAAGTGTAGACTTTCTATTATAAACTAGCATACCATACAATAGTATATAGTATTTCTGAAATAGGCTATCAATAATTCAGATATTCAACAGATTATAGTCCAGATAGCTTGTTTTTCTTTTTGAAGAGTCTTTTACTCTACTTTAATATTCTATTTCTTCTTCTTCTTTAATTTGAGTTATAAAATATCTCACAAAGATTGCATTGCTAAATTGCAGCAAGAATCTGATAAAAAATAACTGTTTTGAAAGCTTTGAACATGGAAAACAGATTGAATTAAGAGAAGGTAAACAAATGCCTTTAAGAATATAAGTTGCAGAATCATTGGATATCTCTGCAAGCAACAACATGAATAAAGACAAATACAAATATGATACATCTACCTCTGGGCCTAGGGGAGAAACTGATCAAAAAGATGAATAAATATGAATGAAAGCAATATGAATATGATGTGAATGATGATGAAATACATGAAAAGACAGGACAGACAGATAAAAAGACTTATATAAAGACTAGAGAAAAACTCAGATTTCTTATCAAATACTACTAAGAATCTCATCAAGAATAAAATTGATAAATTTTACAAAGATATAAAGATTAAGTTAGAAGAAAAGTATATAGTCATTCTTATTGAAGTCAATTATTTGAAATGAAAGAGCTTTATTCTTGCAGATACTCATTTGATTCAGACAAAAAATATTCTCAACAAATAATAAACAGGATTTTCTACCACAGTTTCTTTGAAAATTGAGCTTTGAAATAAGAAAAATGAACTTCTTTACACAAGAATCTTTCAATCTTTAAAAGCAACTATATGTAATTCTTTAGAATCACTAAATGAAGATTTTTATCTAGCAGCAACTATATGGAAGAATCTTGCTCAGTGTTACACTATATCTTATGCAGAAAAATGTCTTTAAATTATTAAGAAATTAAGAGATTTACAGCTTAAAAATAACAATTTTCACATCTATCTTGCAACTTTTTAAGATCTAAAGGCAAAACTTGTATCTCTAGGTGAAAATTAAGCTAAGAGTATTTATCATAATTTATTCATACTAGAATTGAGAAACTGACAATAGAAATTTATTAAAATAAAGCTAAATAATTTCTATACTATCAAGTAGAACTCTATTCAGAATCTAAATCTTGATGAATTGATGAATCAATTAACTACTCATGTCACTATCACTATAACTCATTTCAACTCATCCATCATGAATATCATCACTGAATGATTTGATGAATGTCAATGTCACTACTGTGAGAATACAGAGCATATGATCAAACATTGCTGATTCAAGAACACAAATCTCATAAGCACTAAATGATAGAAGTATAATAAGAAGCACATTAAGATATTGAAAAATAGAAATAAAAATAAAACTAAGAATAGATATAAGAGCAAAGATAGAAATACAAAGAATCTACTTGTAAGTCACTCAAGTTAAGCATTCTTTATAATAATTTCTTCAAATATTGAAGAACTTTTGAGAAGTCAGTTAGATTATGGGTAAAATAAGAAAAGAATTTGATGGATACAGCAATTGAAAGACAAGATAAATTGATAGAGAAGATGGATATGATATTTATTTGAGCAGGACAGTAGCTAGTCTGTATGATAGCTAGTCTGTACAGTAGTTAGTCCAAGGGGAGGTGTTGGAGCCTAGGCTTTCTATTATGGACTAGCGCACCGCACAATTGCATATACCAACATAATGACCTGCATGGTCACGGGATCACGTGATGAGGGTTAGGCCTAATCGGGCGCCGAGCTTAATCCGACGTCAAGTCTAATCGGGCGCCGGGCCTCAGTCGGGCTCAGTCGGGCGCTGAGCCTAACAATAACATAATTTTAAACTCTTAAATATTTAAAATTATAATGAAAAATAATTTCTTATTAAATTTGAATATACTATTAAGTATATTATTTTAATTAAATTTGTGAAAAATAAATATAATATAGTAATTTAAAAATTAAAAATTAAAAATTTAATATTTTAATTATAATTATATATATAAATGATTTGAAAAAAATTTAAATATTAATAAATATATTTTAGTATATTCTCAAATAGTTAAAATAATAATAACTACAATTTAAAATATTTAAAAAAAATATTTAATTTATATATAAAGAATAATTATTATGATTAATATTTATTTATATTAAATAATTATTTTTTATTAATATAAAATTTATAAATATTATAAATAAAAATTAAATAATATTTATAATACTTTTATTATATTTAATTTATTATTATAATTATTAAATATTAAAAATATATTTATATTATTTATAAAAATTTATAAAAGAGAATTAAATTCACTATTATATTAATAATTTAACTTTTTATATATTATTAAATATAATTTTTAAAGATTATTTTATATAATTTAGTATATAATATTTTTATTTATAAATATATAAAAAAATATTTAAAATTATAGAGATTTATTTACTTAATTTTAAATAAATATTTAAAATATTTATTAAATAGTTAATTATCTTTTCTAATATTATTTAATTTATTATATTTATTACTATTTATAAATTTTATAAAGCTGTTAAATAGATTTATATATAGCAATCATTATTAAATACTAATATTGAATAAATTATTTATATTAATAAAAAGTTTATTCTTAAAAATAAATTTTCATAAATGTGGTGTTCCGCCTCTATTCTTCTTCCTCTTCCTCTATTCTTCCGCCCCTTTCTATATTAGTATCTACTCTCTATTCGCCCCTTCCTAATCCACTCAGAGGCTCCAATCTTTCTTATATTTCCTATGCTATACAATTGCTCCTACCATATAGAGTGATTATAGTGTGTATATATAGCAGGGCATCCGCCTATCTTATTAGAAAAGAATCAAACATGATTTATCCTACTTATTTGATTGCTTGTACGCATCAATAAATTAAATTTAATAGTATAATTTAATCATTTCAAATAAAGCTACAACAAAATATGATAAATATATTAAACTATTTGATAAAGATAAACCTAGACAGATTCTATTCTTTTCATCTGATAAAATTATAGTAGTTCAGAAGTATAAGATTGAGCTAAAAAGTGAAAAATTTACAAAGACTATATGAAAGAACTTCAACTACAACAAATTATTCAATGAGATTAAATTTTTTTAAAAAAATGCTAAGTGCAAAGCAGCTTACAAGACAGTTTGAAAAACAGTTCAAAAGACTGCAGAGTCAACAAAGTATAAAATAACTAAATCAAAAGAATGAAAGATTATTAAAAAGATACTGAAGCAGTCACTTAAACATCAGTGCAAAGCAAATAGAGTCAAATTCAAATCTGCAAGATCTATACAGATTGTCTCATTAGAAAATACAGCAAATTCAGTATTAAAATCAGTATTCAGCACTTCTTTATTTCTCTTTTCTATAAAAAGCAAAGTCAGCTATTTCAGTCATGCTATTAAGTCAAATACTTGTTTATTTTCTTAATCATACTAATTTATATGTAATCTATGATACATTCATTTAGTCTTTAATAGCTAGTAGTAATTCAATTCATGATTGTTTCAAAATTTGCAATTCAGCATAGGGCAGCAGGTAGTGAAATTGTTGGGTGGCGGAAATTGTTGAGTGGCAGTCAACATTAGTTAACTAGAACGTAATCATGGTAGAAGTCTTACTAATTAAAAGTGCATGGCCAAATGTCATCTGTTACTGAGAACGCTTTGACCTGCGGAATCAACCCGAAATATGTCAATGTTTGTTTGTCGAGCTAGTAACTAGATAACAAACTGCCCCTTCTCTGATGAAATACGTAATTATCTGTAGCCGGTCTTGGGTCCAAGTGGTCAAATTCGGAAGGGACTATCTCGGGCAGATCAAAATATCGCTTGTGCAGGTCAAAAATGCTGTATTCCGATTGATTCTTCTTCTTCTTCTTCTTCTTCTTCTTCTTCTTCTGTCCCTTCCCTTTTCGGAAGGATAGAACTATGTTTTAATAAAGCCTGATGACCTAGGCCCAGAACGGCACTCTTACCGCAGGCTCTCGGTCGTGCTTTTACCAATTCAACACATATCCCCCAGCAGTTTGTTCTAAATATATATATACCATGCTTGACTTGTGCTTCAATCCTCTTGTTGGCTCCTCGGTCGCTCATGCCGCTGTGACCTCACCCTTGATGTGTTTCCACTTGCTTTTCCCATGCCGATATCGGACTAGCTATCCTTTATCCGCCTGGACTCGTATAACTCTTCGCCTATGTCGCATTCTCCTCCCCTTGTCTCTAACGAAGTCGCCTTTTGTTCCATAGGAAGTGCTAGGGCCGTATTCGGTAGCACACCCGTTACACCCACTGCACTTATTGAAATCTCGTGGGGCAATGATGCCTTCATTAGGCTGTTGGCAATCATTTTGTTCATGAAGAGTAGACAACATGAATTCACTCAGCGAAAGCTTCTTCCAATAGTCAGTAAATTGTGAATATTAACATTTCATAACTTGAAGTGCAGTTACTATATTTTATTTATAAAAATTTTAGATTAAATATAATAATAATAATAATAATAATAATAATAATAAATAATTTATATATATTAAATAATTGAAATAAAAAAATTATATTCAATTTTATATATTTTATAAAATTAAAAAATAAAAAATAAAATATGAAATAATAATATTAAAATTAATAATAAATTAAATTTATATAAATCATTTATTATAAAATTATTTAAATATTATATTATTTTGAAATAAAATCATATAAATATATATAATAAATTTTAGTTATAATTTAAATAATTATTATAATTATTAATTATATATATTTAAAAAAATATTATATTATTTTGAGATAGAATCATATAAATTAATAATTTAAATATAAAATATAAAATTTAATATTTAATATTTAACTTTATTTTTTTGAATTATAAAATATAATTATTATTTTTAAAAATAAATTATATTTAAATTATATTTTATATAAATCTTTTTTACTATATTAAAATTAATTTAATATAAAAAAATACTTAATAAAGTTTTTAATAAAATATAATATAAATATTTTTACTAGTAAAAAGAAGAATTATTTTAATAATTATTAAATTTATTTTTAAAACTATTATTTTTTATAATCAACTTTAATATTATTTAAATAAAATATTATAAATTGATAATAAAAATAATTAATAATTTTATTAATTAAATTAAAAATTATTATTTTAAGAAATTAAATAATTAATATTAATATTAATTATATTAAATATAAAAATTTTATATAATTAATTAATAATAATATAAAAGTTTAATTTATTAATTTAAATGCTATTATTATTAAATAATTATCAAATAAAAAATAAATAAAATAATAAAATATTATAAATATATTTAATAATATACTTATTATAATTAATTAATTTAAAATTTAAAATTTTTATAATAATAAATAATTTAAAGATAATAAATATAATATATTAATATATATAAATATTAATAAAAATATTTATTATTATTTTTAACTATTACAATATTAAATTATCAATTAAAATAAATTTATTAAATTTAAATAAAGAATTTTTTTACATAATATAATAATTAGTAATTTAAATTTCTAAAAAAGTTTTAATAATTAATATATTAATAATAAAGTTATATTATATATTTTTTAGTTAAATATTTAGAAAGTTTATATAAAATTACTATAGTATTATTTTTATTATTTTATCAAAATTTTTAAATCTTTATAAATTGTTATTAATTATAAAAAATTAAATTAAATTAAACTTGTCAATTAAAATTATAATAATTTGAAATTAAAAAATAATAATTTCTTTATAAAAAATTATCTATACAATTGTTTGAATTAAAGTTCAATAATTAATATAAAAGTTTTATAAAAACTCAAGTTGTATTTTGTTTTATTTTATTTGTTGAAAATATAATTATGTGAACTTAAACTTATATCTATAATTACAAGCTTTATAACACAGAAAATGTTTTTTAAATTCTAATATAATTTAGTTTTCAATGAAATCTTTATTGTTATTATTATTAGCAAGTGTAATTCGGGGTGGTTGCACCCCTATATTTCATTGAAGCAAGCATCTTGTATTCCACGCACATGTAACTACTTCCTCAGCCCAGTCCATTCGTGTCTGGGTGGGTGCGTAAAGAGGTACCTAATGACAGGAGTGGGGAAAAGAAGGACCCTCTGGGATTGGTGATGATCATCAAACCGCTGGAATAGTTGGCTTCGTCGACAGGCTGTGAGCCTCTCTGACTTCATACATCGTACTTAAAACCAGAGGAGAGGTTAGAAGGATGACCAAGAATTCATGATGAGAGCAACCAACCACCGAAAAACTTGACTGTTCGTTTCGCTCTAATTCGTCGAACAAGGAACCTCGGTTCTGTGGAACAGAGAAGTGGCTGAGAACCTTGACAACTAAAGTATTGCATGTACATGTACACGTACATCGCTGCACACGCATGTCCCTCTTTCGGATATCCTCAGCCTTTGGTCCCTTTTAGTTTCAGACTGCCTGTGTTTCATGAGAGCGGACCTGCAGAGGCACGTTGAATACTTCTGTATTCTAGAACCCTCTCTGAGGCTCACTCTGGCCCAATCTCACTGACGAAATGATCGGAGTTTCCAACTCAAGGTCCAAACTCGGGGTCAATTACACGATGAGTTCGGTAGAGGGTGGGAGAACGTGAGTAGAAAAGATTGTCGTATCATGGATTCCAGGTCGACGCAACAGAATATGCGTGAGAAAGCAAGAGGCTGACGCAAGCTTGCTTATCAACCTACAGAACCGAGCTTGCGAAACTCTGATTGCCATTGGGCGGGCGCATGGGAACTTATATTTGGTCTACTCCGCCCACAACACACCACACCATTGGATGCAGTCGGTCTGCCTGCCCGTAAACATGTCATTGCTGCCCGCTGCCTGCTGCACGGCAGAACAGGCGGAGTATCGAGCAAGAAACAGGATGTTGGGCAAGGATGCAAAAAGAACCAGTTAGTTATCGTTGTCGTCAAGTGACTCTTCGCTACCAATGGATCTGCTCGCGATGACGGCTCTGTTCTTCTGCCCGCCTGGTCAGGCCACGTAATCGGCCTTCCGACGTGAACCTGGTATTGAATGAAACGGATCGTCCGTCCTGGAGAGACTTTTCTCGCATCGGTTCAACTAGCTGGGTTTGAACAAAGTCCAGACCTTCTACTCTGTATCCGTCTCCGTCACCAAATCTACATGTAGCTGGAAGAAGTTAGTAGGGTTCCTGAATGCACAACGCGGTGGCTTGTCAGCAGCATAGCCGGGCCCTTTCCACAAACCCACAATAACCAGCTGTCTTCCGAAACGAAAGCCCACGAGAAGTGTGTTTGTGCTGGCTGGAAACCGATTGGACCGCAGGACAAACTGCAAACCCGCACTAGAATTCTGGTTGGTCGAAGCGCTGCCAGCTCCACATTTACCTCTCCCTTGTGCGAACCTGATTCGATCCTCATCCATCCGTCGTTTCAACGACGTCCAAAATACCAAATGTTGAGCAGCGGAACCTTCCGGTTGTCCCTGCTGTGTAGCGTATCAGCAACTGGGAATGGATTTTCCCATGAGTAATTCTGAAATCATGAATAATTCTCGCAGTTTTTCCAGCCATGTCGCTGAGAGAAGCTTTCTCTGGACTCAGGACAACACGTTTGAGAGGATAGAAATGCGAGTGGGCCTGTCTCAATTATCTTTTCAACGATCTTTCAATACTGACCAAGGTTTTAGACCTTCTTTAAACATTTGTCTTGTTGTCAGCTAATCATATCGCAAAAGATTAAATGAAACCCTCGGGAACAACAAAGTCCCTTGTCCATTGTCACAATACAAGTATCTACTTGGTTACGCGGCAATCGGTTCTGAAGGTGCCGAAGTTTAACCCATGAAACGACCTTCGACCGCCTCCAGTTTCTTGAAGATTTCCCGCCGTATTTCAAATGGCCGCCGACCAGCCATGTCCGTTGACGTATTTCACCACTTTCTCGGCCACACCACTTTCTTGGTCGCTATGTGTACCACGACTCTCCAATTTAGTATACGTACCTTGGCTTGAATAATCAATCCCATGCGATTATTTCCCCTCTGTTGCTATTATTGCATTGTGGACTCCCCAGGTGTGATATATAATCAATGTTATTAACATTTTCTGCTTGCGATCTTTTTAAAAACTGGGACTTCCAAGTTCCGTTTGTGAAAATTATCGTTGGTCTTTTGGACTCAACAGCTCCTTTGCAATCTCAGCGCTTGTGAGGTGACCCAATGCCATAATGAGGCGACGACTGTCAACTCTGGTCAATAGTGTAAGTCACTTTTTTTTTTTGTGCACTCATATACGTATATTCTATGCTGCACTGCTTCTGTACAGACTGAATCCTTGTACTAATATGTCGTGGAAAGCGAGCTTCAAGGAAGACTTGTGAGGATGCAGAGGACGATAGCCGGTATTATGATTTTGACAAAGCGGCTGTCAGTTCAAGGCCGCGCTCCCCTTTTATCGATCGACGACGACTATCCCCTCCGCTAGAAAGACAGTTGCAGCATGCGTGCCTCGTTCTATATCAGAAAATACAATTCCCAGAAAGGTGGGAAGATTTCAGCAAATGCACGAACCCTACGAATGATAGCCGTTCATGCTGCAAAATCTCTTCGTTTACCGTCCCAGATCATATAGCTGCGGATGTTGATGTTGTCCCTGCTTGTGATCAGGACAGGCTGTTGAACGAGAATGCAAAAACTGTTTCGAATATGAAAAACAGACATCGCATCGGCAAAAATGTTGATTCGGAATGGAAGCGAGATTCAACCCACGGACAGGCCATGCGGGCCCTCGAGCAATCATTTGCACCACGTCCTGTGTGTGGCAATGGCGCTTCAGCAACATTTCAGAATCAGTTCGGTGGTAGAGCAACTTGTGCGAATGATGCTGTTACCGGATCCCCAGAGCTTCGAAGCAGCTTAAGCCCACAATCACAAATGAGAAATCATAACGATTTCTCATTCGTACGCGGCATATCAATAAACGCCCCGACAATCGCGGAGCGTGCTCCCGATGAAGCCGGGCAGCACAGAGATATTGGAGAGTTGACTGGAATGCTAACGAAATCTACCAATCAAGAATTCCAGTCCCCAGTTTCCGCAACACTTTTGCGAAATATCTCTCACTCCTGGCAGCAGATATCGCAAAAATTTCAACTAGAACGATACGACACCATTTCAGTTTTCAAACTGGAAAAGTCTCTACTACAGGATGATCTGAAAGCCCGTTCAGCGGACCTGGCCAACCAGAAATACAATTCCGGCCTCATCCAAACCCCAATCCTTCTTGATGAATGTGAGACAGATTCATCCATCAACACACTTACCGATACGGAATCATGTAGCTCCCAATCCTCAAGCGGCATGGTAATAATTGACGAGAATGGCTTGGAGAAGGTGATGACGCTCGCTGAGGAAAAGCAACGCCGTTTGGCCCTTGAACGCGCAGTTATGGCGAAAATGTCTGGCGGCGGCCTTCTTGCTCCAATACCTAATAGGGACAAAGCTGTGGCCCCTCCACTCGAATCTGACAAATCCACCAACCTCACTAGCTTCGTTTAGAAGCAAAGCCCCCAAGCTTCAGTTGAAAATATTCCTCGGATGATGGTACTCCTAGTGAGTGAGCGAATCCGAATTACACAGAACAGGCAGGCGAAAAGCAACCCCCGGGCTTGAAGTTATCCACACTGGGCCTTGGGAGAAAGGAGTTTGTTGCAAAGTGGTAACGGTATTGCTGGCTTCGGTGCCGTAAGAGAGGCGAGGTAACCTGTTTTGAGAGTTGGGCTTTGTCGCATGTACTCAGAATGCACATACACCTCACACACTTTTTTTCACCTTCCTGTTCTGAACGAAATTCACGGTCAATTTTTCTTCCGCCTACGGATTTTAACGATATGTTTACATGTTTATAGATATGCTTCCCCCCAATCACACCCCCCCTTTATATAGTATCGCCGCCTTCATAATTTTATTCTTTTCATTCGAGAGCGGGTATACATCAAAATGAAAGTTTATTCCTCTTGTTTCGGCTTTCATGTTTTTACTACCAATTTTAACACCGTCTGGTATCCTTCATATCTCCTTCAGTAGTACCAAATCTTACTGTTCTTTCCTTTCTTTGTTGCTATATCACATATATTTGCTTGCCTTTATCCTCTGATAACATGCATGCTAATCTGGATTACAATCAATTCAACGCTCCTTAACGATCAGCATTCATCGCGGACTCGAAACATGCTGATTGCTAGTTAAAGAAAGTGTCTTATCTACTTAAGGTAGGGTACGTTGCTATTTTGGGGTATTCATTTAATGTTCTCATGATATATTCAATGCATATAGTTAAAAAAGAGTATGAAACGGCTCTCGAACCCCAATAATCCACAGTGTGCATTTGAGGTTGGTAACTTTCCCCACATCCATTGTTCCCGTTGAGAATGTGGCTGCCAGCCACCCCCAATGTTAGAAGTCAATCAACATCCAACACGAGTTGAATGTTTGCTGCTTGGCTGTAGCCATTGTGAAATGTGACCCTGTTGATACCAAGACACAACCTCTGATTTGCCACCGCTCTACTGCATGCTATTTTACGTCAACTACACCTTGCTTAAGCAGCAGCATAAAAAAATGACGAGGATGAAGAAGTAGAGAGAAGATATATTTTTAATTTTAACCGAAAGTACGGAAAAGATATGACATTTAGAGGGTTAATAAATAGACAAACTGGTTTTATGACCGTAAAAATGCTGCTGCATCCAGTTAATCAGGCAGGAAAGGGACAAGGAGAATCAACGCACGTAGGCCGGTGAAACGATGCTCAATCAAAACCCAACAACCCAAATCCAGCAGACATTCAATACAAGTTTCTGAATGAACTTCGTAAAACCCCGTTCTTATATCGCCCGATTTGGTGAAAGTAACATGTCTTGAGTGGAATTTGTCTCCCGAGGAACAACTGAAGAAGTCTCAAAAAGGGAGTAAAGGAAATAATAAAAAAGACCGGGAAATGCCGTCAAATGGTTTAAATAAGTGCATTCATTTCAAACACCGGAAAAGAAAAATAGACGCTCAATGTCCACGTCTAGGTCTCTTATTCTCACCTCCTATCCTGGAGGAACCGGCAGCGGAAGCCCCGTCATCCACGTTGCTACCTGCCAGTCTCCCACGCTTTCGGGACCAGGACCCTCCGCCTGTATTGCCACCTCCACTGGCACCTCCAGCGGCACCAGTATTGCCGCCACGCCCATTTCCCAGATCCCTGCGCTCTCGATCTCGGTCGCGGTCGCGATCACGCTCCCGATCCCTGCCCCGCTCACGATCTCGATTGCGATCCTCTTCTCGGCCCCCGCTACCCCATCTGCGATTTTCAGTTTCGTTCGATGCTAGAAGAGGAGGGGGTGGAGGGGGTGGAGGGGGTGGGGAGACGTCAGATTTCCCACGACTCTGACTTTCGTAGGTGCCCACGTCACGCTCTCGCTTGTCCCTTCGCCTGGTGGAGACTGGCTCCCTGTTTGCGCTCGAGTTCTGAGGGGGGCCTCGCGACGAGGATTCTCGTGAGCCACGGGCTTGTTCCCGGCTACTGATATCCGCAGCTCGACCACGATCGCGATCACGGTCACGGTCACGGTCACCTTCCCGGTGGCGTTCTCGATATTCGTCCCGCTTCGTGCTAGCTCTTGAAGCCTCCTCCTCGCCCCGACGACTGGTATCGCGTTCCCGCTCTCGATCTCGGTGTTCGCGATCTCTTTCTCTATCGCGTTCTCTTTCACGGTCTTTTTCACGATCTCTTTCGCGATCTGGGGTTCGAGTACCACTCGAGTGGCGCGGGGAACGTCGCGACTCTGCTGCTGCTTCCTCTATAATTTCGCTTCTCCGGCCAGCCCTGCCATGCGCCCGAGGCTCTTCCTGTGAAGGCACCACAGGTGGTGCTGAGGCATCTGAGCGGCTTGGGAATAGATCCGGTTTTTCTGAGCCTGAGGGAGGAGCTGTACCAGAATAATTGTCACCTTTCGATCCGACGGGAGTTTGAGGTCGAGTAGATTGAGGAGACGGTGCGTTCACTGAATTGCCACCAGTACGATTTGCCCCCCTTCCCCTTATTGATGTACCCATTCCAGATTTATCCGCTGGTGCGCCAAACTGCTGAAGCATGTTGTTTAGACCCGCGAACCGCTTATCTCCCCTGCTTCTTTCACCAGGAAATGGTACTCCGGGAGGGCCTCTTGTGGTCGGCGAAGGACCGGAAGGCGGATGTCCACCACTCCGTGGCCCAGATGGAGGCAAGGATGTTGGAGATGCTGTTGTCTGCGTTCCGTCGTCTCTGGGAGATTGAATCGCCTTCAGACGGTCAGGGTGAATACCAGATGTGTCGATTTTTTCCACGGGAGCAGGTGCGGAAGATGGCGCCGTCGCTAACTGCTGATCGTGCTGCGCAGGATTCCGCGCGAGAGGTCGATTTGATGGGCCGGTGGGTGGCTGGCGGTCAGTTGGCTGTGGTGGAATAGGAAGGGGCTGCGACAATGATGGATTTCTGCCACCTCGTTGGGTAGAAGTCTTCCTTGGTCCTGAAGGGATATCCTGAGGCCTGTCAAACGACTCTTGTGGGCGTAACGGGAATTTTGAATCTTGGTTTAACCGTCCATATGACGAATCTGTGGTTGACTGATATGTTGATCGAGAGTCTAGCGCATGACGATTATCGGCTGCTGAAGAATAATTGCCCCTGTCACCTTTGGGTCCTGTTGGTAGATCCTCAGATCGCGCTGGTGGTTGGGAATTGGTAGGTTTTCTCTCTTCACGTTCCTCTCGCCTATCGGACCTATTCTGGAGACGAGAATCATCTGCTTTTGGAGGGGTGGAGGGTCGGGAGCTACGATTTCTTCGATCATCTCTTTCGGGTCTAGGAAGTTCAAGTCGCTGGTGAATTCCAGTTTCTGTATGGGGCCGGGATGGATGGTCACGGTCATGAAGATCAGGCACATTAGCCGCCCGATATTGATGAACATCCCCTTCTCTGAAGGAACGGTCCGAGTCTTGTCGAACTTGGAAAGCATCTGCTTGAGAAATTCTTCCTCTACCCATCCTATCAGACCATTCCTGATCCCTAGGCGATGGTCGTGCATCCCTGTACCCGGGTCGTCCAAAATTATCTTCAAGGGGGCGAGAAGGAAATTCTCTATCTATCCGGTGACCATCAAGCCTATCCCTATCTCCAGGACGTTCGTTTGGTCGCCCGTGGCTACGGGAATCGATAGGGAGGGCATGTTCAAATGGTCTCTCACGATCCTGGCCACCGAACCGCCCAGAGCGGTCCGGATGTCGATTGTCTCGAGCATCTCTTCGTTCATCGGGCATATTGGGGGGTCTCATAGACATCCGTTCATCAGGGTGTCTGAAGGGGCGAGGAGGTTCTGGCCGATTTGGTAGGTTTGCCTGAGGGCGGACAGAAGCACTGTGTTGGGGAGGGTAACAGTCAACATCCGGGCGCTTTGGAATGCTTGGTACATGTGAAGATTCTGAAGGTGGTCGGCTAGCCACTCGTGATGGAGCTGGTGATGATGATCTGTGACCTGAAACAGGTGTTTGTGAATCTCCCAGAGTGGCTTGTGTGGTCGAAGGCTGCTGTGAAGAAGGTTGCGCAGGGGTCTGCGAATGGCCAGTTGCAGGCTCTGCAACCTTGGCTGGCTCCGTTTCTTGTAACACGGGGGTTTTGTTATTCTGTTCCACTTTGTCTAATTTACTCGTAGAAGCAGTTTCCACTGCGCTCGAAGTATCGGACACCTGCAGTGATTGGGCATCACCTCTCGCGGCTTTTGCTTTCATGGCTGCATTGTTCAACTTCCCTACCATTTTCGCATCTTCGATCTCGCCGTCTTCAACCTCTAATTTCCCAGGCCCATGTGGCCGTGCATCATTTACCCTAGGTATGATCAGAAAAAAGTCCATTCGGGGGGAGCTAGTTTGATCGACTCACGTAGTGGACGACCCAGAGGGTTTAAAGTCAGGAGCGGATGCATTCAGTGATTTGGGAGTAGTTGACTGAGGTTGCGGCGTGCGTGCTTTAGCCTTGTCACTCGGTAACGATTCATTCTTTGGAGGATTAGCCCCGTATTCCTCCACATTGCAGATAGGTAGACTCACAATCATGAAAGCCTGCGGAAGTAGCCATTTCTTCTCTCTTCTATTCAAATCTCCAATCAACGAGGCTGCAGGAATTTTAACATCATCACGAGGATCCATTGTCTTCAGGTTGTTCACGCAGGTATGCATGTCTCGGCCAATCCAATTAACCGCAGGGAAATGCTGAACAACTGCCTTCAATACGCTAATGGCGTTCCGGATATGCATATACTCGCCTCCTGAGAGGCAAGTCTTCAAGCAGGCACCAAAAATGCGATGCCACTTGTAGAAAATCCTGCGGAAATCTTCGTAATCTAAAAATGACTTTGGCTTTCCTTCTTGATCAACTGCCATGGCAAATCCTGGGAGATCCCTTTTCATTCCGTACGCTTCTTTCTCGTAGACGGCTTTATCGGCATGCCATCGGGTCAAGTCGCGAAGTACTTCGTTGAGGAAACGACCGAAATTATCAGCTTCCTTAGAAGTACTTTGGAAGATGATGGCTGTAAGCCGCTGTTCGCGAAACAGCTGATCAAGAAATCCTACTGTTCGGAAATTTGGCGTCCCAGATGAATGGAGATACTTGAGCATCTTGAAACTGTAGAAAGCGTCAATAGGCGAGAGAAGTAACCGGGGTAATAGACACTGTTCCATCACGGCAATGTTAAGAGCTTCATGTTTCCCTCTCAGTCCAACAAACCATCGGTCTTTTTCCTTCTGTAACCTTGCCCTATTTAATCCGTAACATCTCACATGTGCCTTGTTCTCTGCTAAAATTCGGTCATGAAGGTCATTAATGAGTTTTTTCTCCTTATCCTTTTTTAAGGTACCGGCTATGCTAACATCTGACCGATCTTGCGAAATGGCCTGGATTTTTTTCTTGAGCCGTTCAAGTTCTTCTTCGTAAGCACGCTGGGGAACATGAATGTCATAGAGCGATAGCTGCCAGAATGTCACAAAGAATGGCAGACCAACAACTTCCCATGAGCTTCGTGGCATCGCTGTCTTGATCTTATCCATCAGCCCTTCAAGTACAGGATGCCAAGGTACACTTTCCGGATCCGCTTTAGAGGTGCTTGATGTGATTGAAGCGTTCGTTTTCGCCTCACCCTGGTTATCGTTAGTACTAGATGTCGATTCTTCAGTAGAGATCGTCACATCTCCCGACGAATCCTCTTTTTCGACAGCTTCCCCATCGTCTGCCATCTCTAGATCACCATCAGGGCTCTTAGAGGCGGGAATGGTTTCGGTTTCTTGCTTCTTTGTCGCTTGCTCTCGTTTCTTCGTGTCAACTTCAGCAATCTGATGCGCAACGCTCGGGCGCGTAATCCAGAATGCGACTTCCGGCTGTAGTCCAAATTCGCCTATGAGACTTGCCACATCTGGCACGAAAGAGTCGAATTCTTCAACCGTGAAATTGCTTCGGAGAAGATCGATATATTGAGTGAGAACCCGATGTATCTCATCGAATATATTGCCAAGTAGTTTCAATTCCCCGTCAGCTTCTGATTCCTTGAATATACATGTAGCTCGTTCTTGCGCGACGGCTATCAGAAGCTGCCCGGCAAGCTTAGAATTCGCCAAAGATTTTATTAGGCGCCGGGAGGTTATCTTGGATTCGTGGCGTTTATCGAGAAGTTGTAACATGGTCTGCGATTGTAGAAGTGCACCACCCGCCATTGCCTGAATTTGGGAGTCGTTGAAATTTGTGTCAGTAACTATCCCAGCCATGGAGCTGATAAGCTGCTCTAGAATGACGAGATCGGTGGAGTTGTTGTGTCGAAGCTGTTCACCAACGTATTGAAGAACGGGAACAGGGTCCATGATGGTAGAATAGCGTTTAAATACCCTGCCAACAAAGGAAGCAAGGGCATTGAGCCATCTACTTGTTAGCAGACCCCCATCCTGAACTCGACTCCTCCCTTTCTGACCAAGAGAATTGATCAATGACCAGGTTAGAATATCATATCCCAAGTACGTGAAATATCGGGCACATTCCACAACTACTTCAATTAGGTTCTCATATGCTTCGATCTGGTTGATGGCGACGCTGATGACAATTCCCGGGTTAGCGAATGCTATTTTAGCCAAGTTTCTAGCCATCGGCTTAATGTTGGTTTTGCTTAATCTTTTAAGGGCGTCCTTCGTTTCTGCTCGTGCCTGATCGAAGGCCGATTTGATATCCGGCAACCGAGAAGTTTGTCCAGAATACCACTCAGCATAAATGGAATATCTCACATCTCGTGAGAAGTGGCTCAGCAGCTCAAATACCTCATTGACGACTCCAGGGTTTGCTCTCGTTAAGCTCAATGCGGGAACCAAAAGGCGCTTGCAAAGATCTCGCCATCGCATCTGATTTGATTCCGAAGGATCACTTTGTAGACTTTCGTTTCCAAGCCTAGCCAATTTCGTCAATAGGCCAGGGTCCTGCCCAATTTTGACACCTGAAAGATTTAAAAATGATCCACAGAGAGTGAATACATCATCCACAGTCTGGCAAACGGGAATATTATCTGTCCAATCGTCCCAGTAAAATCGATAATCAGTCCCATCGTTGGTATCTTCTTTATCTAGTAATGCCCACCGAAGGACGCGTCGAGGAGGTGGATCAGTCAATCGAATATTGCCCCTTGGAAGGCCCGCTTGGTCAGAACTGGTGATCTTCTTTTCAGTCTTGATGTCGCTCCTTGATGACAAGGGCCGCGAGGAGTCACACAGCTTGCTCAGAGAATGGTGTATAATACGGTGGATATATTCTGGAAGCTCGGGGTACGCATCCAATAGCCACGGGAATCGCCCAAGAATATAGAGGGACTCTGGAAGGGCGCCAATAGCGAGTAGACTCTTTAAGAGCAGCACTTTCTGATCTGCTGGCTCCGGCAATGATTCCTTTTTTTCATCAACTTTTGTTTGGGCTGTTTTGTCCACATCTTGGTCTTTGGCAGGAGTAGCCGCGCGGGTATCAGTCTCTCGGAGTCTAGACATCGGGACGGGTATTGTATCGTCACTCAAGGCACCAGCCATCATTAGCGCATTCATCGCCCCAGCACCAGGTCTAGCAGCTAGTTCTCTCTGCTCCTTCTCTTTCATTTTCTCCTCCTTTAGCTCGTCCATAAATTCATCCGGTCGCCAAAGGTGAGGATAGAGATCCCGTAGAGAGATAAACCCGACTTTTATGAGCAAAGCGGCTAGATATATGAGATTATCCGGTAGAATATCAGCCGGATTCCGAGCATCTGATGAATAAAATCGGAGTTTGAATCCCAGCAGTTGCGCCGCGACCCCGTTGCTCTTGGGTGGGAGGGTCCCAGATTGTTCAATCCATTTCAGAGTATCATTGTCTTCCTCTGGGGCGTTGATTTTAAGTTCCGATATTGATTTTAATTGTTTCGGTTCCAATGATTGGTTGCGGCCTATCTCGAAGTACGCGCGGATGCCAACCTCTCTAGCTCGATCCCAAAAAAGGCGATCCCGTTTTTCATTTGCACGAAGAGCTTCTTCCCGGTCCTCCTCTGTTGTCAACCAGCCGGCTGAACCGGGTAGGGCCCATTTAGGTAAACCAGGTTCGGAAATCCCGCCATAACGTCGCAGGAAAGATTCCTCCTTTGGCCACCATGAGCTAACACGCAGGAATTTGACGAAGAATCGATTCTTTTTGACAAGGACAGCCGCGAACACATCTAGCGTGACATCAAGGACTCTTCCGACGTCCATATCAAAAGCGCCTATCATAGCCTTCACTCGTTCGAAAGTATCTTCAACGACTTCGCCTGACGGGGGCTCATTGCTGCTAGTTGTAAACAATTCTGTCAGCAACTTGGAGTACCCTTCTGATTCCTCTCGTAGTAAGTTATAGTTCGACTGTCGATAAAGAAGGTTGGTTTGTTTGCGGATGCCCATGCGAGCGAAGGTGTCACGAATTAGACCAAGCGATTGAAGTAACGGAGTTTCAAGCTGTTGTCGCATAAGGGTAGGGGAGATTCCAGTCGAAAACACCAGGGTGCGGAGGCTGGAGTGAGAGGTGTTTGCGTCGGCTGTAACAGAAAGGGTATCAAGGAAAAGAGAGCGAACATCGAAGGTTTGTGAAGTGCCCGTTGATCCATCCACACTAGGCATGTCATCTGCAACATCTTCGCCTATAATTTCCTTCACGGAGGTCCCACCATCAACTGCAGATATCCGGCCATCAATAACGGACTGAATAATCTCCTGAAACACGGATGAGATCACTAAGGCGTCCTCCGCCTTCCGAGCACCGACCCCGATATCGATCACGGCTTTCCTCCCCGTTAAGGTCCACGCATCAACGCACTCCCGCGTAAGATACTCGTAGGAATAGAACATCACTTGAGGTTGAGATGAGGAAGTAGGTATTGGTGTCGACGGCATTCTGCTTGGCTGAGATAATTCGGGAGGGTCTCTTTGGGATATCATTGCTGATCTCAACGAGGGAGAGTTTTCTTTCTGATGGGAGTTGTGACCTTCGCTTGCCCTCCGCGCAGGCGTACCATTTCTATTGCCGCCTCTGCTTGTTCTTCTGCCTCCCCGATTACGATTATCGGTAGAATCTCGACTCTGACCGTTAAACTGATTCTGTTGATGCTGCTGGGCGAGATTGAGATTTCCGGGACGATGAGGAGACGGCCGCCAGCCATCATTTCCCGCATCTCCAGACCATGATCTGTCACCGCGTTTACGCTTCCCACCAGCTGCAGAAGGCATGGTGGATTTTTTGGGCGCGTTGTCGCTCAGGCAGATGAAGGTTGGCGTTTCCAGGGGCGACTCATGAGGAAGTCAAGTGTAGATGGTGGTAGAGCAAAAAGGATTTAGCGAGAATAAGGTCAGGTAGATGAGGAAGACGGAGAGGTGGAGAGGGCTACCAGTAGCCTATCCATATGAAACAGGCGTACTGGGCTTTCACGGTGAACTTCGTTTGTCTGGCGATGTTTGCTGGATCGACTCTCGGTCAGAGTGAAAGAATCCTCAAACGCACGGAGACTTCTGGATTTGGTTTAGCTACGGCGCGCTAAATTAAGGTCAATAGGGCCGCGCTTATGTAGCCAATAATACTGTCAAATAACCGCTCTGACACGATTTCGATTTTGACAAGGAGCGAACATAAACTACCCCGAACGCTATATCGAACTGCCTAACACCTAAATGGATGTAACCATATCTGTAGGTATGGATATGTATATGTTTATTCTTGAAAAATCCCACTCCTACACTCTTAGCGCGACTTCAACAACCACTGTGATAAGTTAAAAATATCTTGATGTTTAATGTGCTGCAACACATATGGCATCCAGTACACACAGCTATTTACTGCGCTCAAGATTCAGAGCCTTTGCCTCAAGGTCAACAATCTCTGGCAGTAATTCACGAGCAGCCGGGCGGTGCGGATTCCAGCCAAGCAATTTCCTTGCACGAATGGCATGAGCCCTTGAATTGGTTCCCCATGAAAATGGACCAGAGGAAAACAGTTCTTTAGCCTGTTTGCCATCCAGGATATCAACCTCCGGAGTTGGAATCAGGCCCTTCTCAAAGGCAATCTGGGCCATTGCTTTCTCCACATCACCCCAAACAAACGATCCGTTTTCGACAAAATAATACCCTTCTTTCCCCCATGTTGCCTTCCCACTTCCAGCAGCAGCGGCCTCGCCAAGAAGGAGGAACAGATCGCTCAGGTCGTGAACGTGGACTTCATGCCAGATATTCTCACCCTTGCCCACCTGGAGCCCCTTCCTTCTTTTCAGTACATATTTGGTCAGGTTATATATCTGGTTGCTTCGAGTATTGCCTGGGCCCCGCCCCGGTCCATAGATTGTAGGAGGGCAGACGATTGCCGTCTTGACTCTATCAGCAGCATTCTCTCCAACTCCAAGCACGATCTTGTCAACGTCTCGATGGAATGCTTCATCTGGAAGGGATGTCACTTCGCCAATGCCATCCCAGTCGTTGTATTCCTTTGTGCGGAGATCGCCAAAGGTCGAATTTCCTAAATCTTCGAAGGTGAGGATGCCAGTTCCTGAAGTGTGGATCCAGTAGCCTGGACGATCAGGTGTATGAGCAGCTATGCCCTTCGCGATTGCCTGCGAGGAGGCAACATGATCGCAGTCCGCAAAGTCTGTGTAATAAGGCAAGAGGTAATAAACACGTTAGCCAGCCACATCCAAACAGTACAAGATAAATATTATTTGGATGACAGGTCGGCCATACGATAGACTATATCTGCCTTCTTTGCCTCTTCCTCGAGAATCTCAGCAGTGTCCAAGTCCCCATAAACGAGCTTAGTGTTTGGGTATTTGCTAGTGACCAATTCCCCTTTTTGCTTATTGCGAACGAGGGCGGTGAACTCCCATTCTGGATGAGCCTGATTGATTTGGAAGAAAGCGTCTCCCCCGATGTATCCTGTAGCTCCAGTTCTGGGCTTTGTCAGTGCGCCTCTATACAATACTCAGACGTAGACCTGTAACTAACACAAATACTTTAGGCGAACCCATGGCTTTTCAACTGCGGGGAAATACTCTATCCAGTAGATACCGAGATCAAGGAGGGGTAAGTTAAGCTGAATTTTGGCCTAAATAATTGAGTCTATTTGAATTGGCAGACAATCTAAGCACTTTCAATAAGCAATATTTTAATGGAAGTGGTGTGTGTGGTTTAGAATACAAGAGATGGTGCAGTCCAGTCACTTTTTATACTCCTCCATAGTTACCGCATTCACATAACTACCTATTTTAACCCCAGGTCTTTTTCGCTGACTGCTGTAGGTGATTAAACTATCACAAACAGCAGTGGGGTAAAACACCCCATTCTTGGATCCCAATCCTACCATTTATGACGCCATTTAACAGTCGATAAACTCCAAACTTGATCTGGGTATTAAAGACAAGGGTCTCCGGTAGACTGCGGGTCGTGATACTGCTTTGATTCACGTAACCAGGTGACAGGAGCTCTCCTTCTACAGTATAAACGAATCAAATAACATCTATATTGATCTAAATAGATGGTTATGAGCCAGTGAACTTGATTACTCTTGAGTTTCTATATTTTAAATCAGCATCAATTGGTTCAAGAAAGATGTTAAAATTTAACTGAGAAAATAAAAAAGATACTGTTGGGCATATAGCCGCCCCACCGCACGTGATATACGCGTACTAGGCAGTTCCTCCCACCAATGGAAGGCGAACCATCCCACCAGATAGATATATTAACTAGATGTCAACATACGGACTAAAACTATGTAATAGTTTATTGATAGTAAATATTATATAATTGTTCATTTGAATCTTCAACATTAAAGGCAATTCTAAGCATATCTACTAAGGCTGATATTGATCGCAGATCTTTGTAGTGTTAGCATAGAAATACAGCTTTTTAAAAAGTTTTCAGAGTTATCTTTAGTGAAAAGCATAACTTCACTGACAGATTTCAAGTTTGTTGATTCAGAGGAGGCATTTAAATACTCATCAGAAAATTATCTCATCATACTTTGAAGGCTCATTTTGCAGTTACATATCAGAGAAGAGCTATCAACCAGTGTTGTTAATTATTTTCATATCAAATAGAGATCACTAAAGGTGCTAAATACTAAATATATATAGAGAAAAAGATAATCAAAAATAATTTATATCTGTTTTGTTCTCAGTTACTATTCTCTGACTGATTTTTACACTACTTACCTCTTTAAGCTCTTTGCATTTAATAGTTATTAGCAGCAGTTAGCTCAATCATGCGGCTGGAGAGAAGTTAGATGAGATGAAATAGTTCCAAAATTGACATATTATATGGAAACTGTTGGTGGAACTATAAGGGAAGGACGCTTCCAACAGGAAACTTTGTAAATTTCGAAATTGGAGGTCAATATCAGCAGACATATATATATACCTAGAGTAGCCTGACAGCAGCATAAGGGCTGCCAGTCAGAAAAGCACAGGCTGCAGGATGACTTTCACGACACTTCCTCAGAGCACGATCACTTGTTAGCAGAATGAGTTTCAGCCCCTATCACTGTGTTGTCTGTTGACACATGATTGGAGACACCAGTGTAGCATGATATGACGCAGCAGCCTTGATGAGAAATTAGATGCAGCGTACAGAATGAGAAAAAATCTCTTACATATCATTCTTCTGCGCTGTGCTCATTAACTATATCAAGACAAGAGGTAATAATAGTAAATGGATAACGACTTTTCTTGTTCTCATCATCTTTATTAACTAGTTACCCACCGCGGAAAATTACATTTAACAGATAGGATATTTACTAAAATAGTTAACTATTATCTCCGAGCAGCTTAATAATATCAACAAGACTCCCCTCAATTTTCGACAGCGGTGGCTTGCCAAGCTTTTAACTGTAAAATGATCACTTCAATGCTGCATTCCATACCCCTGTAACCTCGTATTTGCGTCAAAATGACAAAACCAGTGTTGCAGGGCACGTTCACAGGCAAGTTCCCCGCGCTTTTGATAGGGGAAGTCGAAAATATCATGTTTCTCGTGTTAAGCATGAATGAGAACTTGGTCACCTCCCAAAATCGGTCTAAACGACTCCGTATTTCCATTCCTTACTTCACAAGGCCCATCATACAGAAGTGAAATGTGTATATTTCAACTGCATATTTAACTATAAGGCCCAGTAGAAGAAAAGAAAAGAAAGAAAAACGAAAAGGAAAGACAGACACGATGTCTACCAGCACCTCAGTCCTCACTGGCGGTTGTGCATGCTCTCACATCCGCTACTCCTCCACAGCCCTTCCGTCCCACCTAACCCACTGTTTCTGTATTGAATGCAGAAAAACAGCGGGCGGGCCCTTCCAGTCCTACGTCTGCTTTCCCACGGCAGCCGTAACATGGATTAACGAGGGGCATGAACCGATATATTTCCACGCCAGCACCTTCGCGCGCCGTGGGTTCTGCGACAAGTGCGGATCCAGCTTGGTGTTTCAAATGAATGAGAGTCCGGAGAGTATTTCGTTGACAGCGGGTTCTATTGATGACTGGGATGTGAAGTGGGGTGGTTCAGATGGAGATCAGAAAGAGGGAGGGCAAGGGGCGGCGGAAAAAGAGGGATGGGACAAGTTGATTAGGTCGTCAGTGTATTATTGGGCGAGAGAGAAGCCATCCTGGCACAAGTTACCAAATGATGGGGTGGTGAAGTACTTCACGGATCCTGATATTGAGGAGCAGCCGCCGGGATGGGGGGGGGAGGAAGAGGATCCTTGGGAAACAGACAAAAAGGGGTAAATGGGGTGTTTGAGTTTTTGATTTGTAGGAGGGTATCAGCCGTCATGGAGAAGAGAGGAGAGTAGCTGGAGCTGGAGCTATCAAAACATCTGCGTCGGCACCTTTGTTATGACATTTGATCTGATGGCTCCCCAGATGGATGCCATGATATAAATTCTATTGAAATGGAAGAGCATATTGTTATGGTTATTCTTGAGACATCCAATGTTAAGATTGAGAATGAAAGGACATGAGAGGATACATCATGTTGCATATCTTTTTGTCCTCACCTAATCTCTCAAAAGGGATATCGATCTCCGGCCGCCAACCTTTACCACGATAAATAATACACCACACACCTCGTTCTGCTTTTATTGCTATCTACTATTGGGGGATATATCTACAAGGAATTGGTATTTTATATAAAGTAGTCGGGACTTCATCTCGACAGCGATAGCCGGAGGGCAACAGGTCTCTCCTTGTGTGGTCCCCGTTTGCAGGGCATCCACTTAAAATTAAAACTATGTCAACAATTAGCAACTTATTCCTCATTCCGTATGCTGACAGGAGTCTTTACTGGACACCAAGCGGTGGGCAGGAGGGTTGAGAGGGCCATGAGAGAGGCAACAAGAAGAAAACAAAAGCCAGCCTGAGAGAGAAATGGCCGGTAAGTACTACTCGAATAGCTTTGCTGGCGTTCTAAAAGCGTCACAAAAAAAAATCCTCTGCCACATTTCAATCACTGCTCTCCCTGGATCAAATGATCCTTACCACCCATGGCTTTTCCTCGAACAAAACCAACAATACTAGGCCAACACGAAGCCCTTCGAAAGGAATACGTGGACATCTTCTCTTTGACCCTGGAATCCCTCGTAGAATCCTCTACTCTACGGTAATCTGTCATAAGGCTCGTCGTAGAGCCTGAGAGGGGCATTGAGGGTTGACAGAACTTTAACACTCTTGATTTTCGCGCACACCCTACGCGCTGTAGAGGAGCAGGGTTAGGCCCTGGGGGTATGTACGGCGGGAGGCGGCGCGGGTGGAGGGGGGTTTCTGCTGACTGGGGTGTTGAAGGAGGTAATGGAGGGAAAAAAGGTGAAACGCAGTGCCCCCTCCCCTGAGAGGGCGATAAAGACAGGAGAGCAAATGGTAGTGGGTAATTGGCTGATGCTCTGTGTGTTGGAGGGTTATTTTTCCCTGTGTATGTTTCGTTTTGTAGGTGGATAGTAACTATGGAATCACGAAATGATAAATTTCAAATTATAAAACAACACGATTTCGCCGACAATTAGTTTGTAGAAGTAGGGAGTAAAGAGGCAAAGTAACCCATGGGATGGGTCCCAGACGACAAAAACGTAACAAACCGACAGTAAATGATTGTAACTTATCATAAAATCTACTTATATGTCATGCCATTCTCAAAACGTACTGGTAGCGAGGCGATTCGCTGCATTTTTAGCATCGACTCTATCATCATCTTCTTCCTCGGGTAGCCCAATCATTCCAGATACACTAAGCGCGCGGTTGAGTGTTTTGCCACCATTGACCTCCGCATCATCCTCGCGGATTGGTGAAACGAAACCGCCACTGATGCTTCTACTTAAACTGTCACCACGTCTCGGTACACCACTCCACGAATCACCTTTGGGACCCTGGCTTGCAGCCAGACTGGCCCGACGAGCTGCAGGATGAGACTCCCGACCCAGACGGCTCAGGCCGCCAGAGGAATCAATCGCGCGGATGTCCGGGCGGACGCTTTCAAGTGTGCTAAGAGTGCGGCGCTCAGCTTCTATTTCTCGCAGGGTATATTCGCGAATGCTGAGAAGCATGTCGGATGTTGTCCGTTTGAACCAGCGGCGCTTTTCTTGCAGGAGGTTGGTAGTTACACGTTGTGTTTTCTTGATTAGGTATTCCTCGTGGCCCTGGGCATCCTCAAGGGCGCTGATGGCTTCATCAACCTTGTCTGATCGGACGGAGGTGCTCACTTTTAACCTGTCCGCGGCGGCACGTTTGCTTCGCGCCGTTTGCTGGGCTTGTATAAGTTCCCGGAGCAGGATGTGTCGATTCGTTAGGGTCTCCTTGACGATAAAGGCGTCGGATGAGTGGTAGTTTAAAGGGTCACCTAGTGTAGTGGCTTCTGCGGTTCCTTGTGCTGCGTGGAAGTCGCCTACTGTTTGGATGATTTTTCCAAGTTTGCGGTAGGCATTGGTAAGCCCAGGGTGGGTCTCTTGGACATGCATGTGACCAATTTTTACACCTAGATCTGATTCCGCCAGCCCAAGACCTAGATTGAATCAGTTAAACCTTGTAGTTATATTATGGGAGAACGCAAACCTTACCTCGTCTTGCCTTCACGACACGGTCGACCTTCTGACCAGCATCCATGGTGCCCAAATAAAACAACTTAACAACAGGTCGCGCATCTTGGAGTTCGGGTGTGTCGTCCGGTGGAGGAGCGAATTGTTTCAGCACCTTCCTCCTAACTCCAGTGGCTGGTTGCTTCATTCGAACAACTGGGCTATAGCCGAAATCACTCTCAACGAAAAGGATCACCTCGTCATCCTGAATCAGAACGTCATTTGCACAGACGTAGTTGAGCCATCTCTGCATTGATGCCTTTACCCGGATCTCATCCTCATCCGTTCCAGCACCAGCCGAGGTCAATGGCGCAGGAACCGCAGGAACAATCGCTTCAGGGTTGGAGGATATCAAATGATCGGCAAGTTTAACGAACTCGGAATGGGTTCGACGAACATCGCGGAATTGAGTTGTCCGGAATTTTGGTATGTTCGTCTGTAACAACGATAGATATCAGCAAGGGCTCAAGGTTTTCAGGCAAAAACGAGGTTTAACATACGTGGACATCAAATCTTAAGATAGGATCTTTTTTTCCAGTTCTTTCCAAACCCGTAATCTTCGCTTGTAATTTGTACTGTGGGGCATTTTGCCGTACTTTAGTTCTTGCTCCGGTTTGATGTCTTGCCGAAACCTGTGCTCGCTGCGGCGGATCATGCTCTGTGGGGCTTGTTGGTTGAGCGGGACGTTCTCCATGGCTTTGGTCTTCGATCTGAGGACTCTGGGGTCGTTCAGATCGGTCCTGCGTAGAGAACTCTTCCTGCTGTTGCCCTTCATTGTCTATTCCATACGGAGACCCTTGTGGTGGTAATGGAGACGGGGCAACCTCAGATGCGGGGAACGTCCTATCGACTCGAGGTAAAGTTGAGCCCCACGGAGATGTGCCGTCGGGATGTTCGGGGTCATGAGGAAGAGACGAGTAATCCATGACAGCGGAACTTATTTATATCTTAAATGGAATATCAAAGCCAGCCAACCGAGACCCTGTGGTCAGAGTGGGTTTGGTCAAAGATAGGCACCAATGTTGGTCACAGTGTTTGCCCTGGCAAGACCAAGAATTTCAGCACAAAGTGCAAATCGCCACAGGTCTGTTGGGATATAACTGTTAGGTAGAAATCCCCACGAAATATCAAAAGCTTGAGGGTGATGTCTATCCATGAAAACTGTTAAGATGAACAGCAGAGAGGAATAGAAGAGGCGAGCGACTTAAGGTGGCGCTAATGGCGCTTGCCGTTAACAAATCTTAGCGCTATTGTAACCACGTGGTTCGGCGGCTACGGTTACCTGAAGATGAGGACAAAACAAATTACATCATCAACTGTGAAATATTCCGTGCTATCATGGCTGTTCTTATGGATTAGTGGATTATTCATTGGATCAAAACAATTGGAAATTCCCAATTCCGAAGCGGCGTCCATTGCAAAATCTTTGCACCTATCTTTAGTTTCTGTTATCCATTGGGCATAATGATCCCAATTGCCCTACCCTCAAGATGGCTCTGTATAAGGCGCATCCAAAATATTAGAGCATCTCCGCCAGTACCATTGAAATATTTACCGTCCGTTTTGCGCATGTATTCAACCGGCTGTGAGGTATCACCTGAGGTTTCAGCAGACCTAGACAGAACCAGAAATATCGGCATCATTGCTCATATCGATGCGGGCAAAACGACCACTACAGAGCGTATGCTCTATTATTCCGGCTTTACCAGGAGAATTGGAGAGGTCGATGAGGGGTCGACAGTGACTGACTTTCTTCCTGCCGAAAGAGCTCGGGGAATAACAATTCAATCTGCAGCAATTACTTTCAATTGGCCGCCTAGACCATGGGGAGAGCAAACAAGTCCAACACTTGAAGAGCTCAAAAGTAAAGGGCTCCCTAGATCTGCAGCGTCGCATACAATAAATCTCATTGACACCCCTGGACATGCGGATTTTACTTTTGAAGTCTTACGCTCTCTGCGGATCCTTGATGGTGCGATCTGCATTCTAGACGGAGTGGCAGGAGTTGAAGCGCAGACAGAAAAAGTGTGGCACCAGGCTTCGACTTACGCTATTCCCCGTATTGTGTATATAAATAAATTAGATCGTGACGGCGCTGCTTTTGGACGAACTGTTCGGGAATTGGGGTCGAGACTGGGTGTCTGGCCCGCTGTCTGCCACATACCGTGGTTTGAATCTGCCTACGGTCGATTCCAGGGTATTGGAGATGCGATCTCTCTTCAAGGCCTTTTTTGGGAGGAAGGTGGTGATGGAAAAAAAATCAAGGTGTCCAGTTTGGCTACCCTGGAAGAAACGGATGAAAAATTTGCGAACGAATTGAAGAGAGCTCGTGTCGCACTTGTTGAACTTCTGAGCGAACATGATGAAGCCCTGGTCGAAAACTTCTTGGAACATGGCGAGGACCATCTGGCTGTAAAACCAATTGAAATCTTGGAGAGCCTTCGAAGGACCTTACTCGATTCAGACACAAGGGTCGTTCCTGTTTTCGCTGGAGCAAGCTTCCGAAATATCGGTGTTCAACCTCTTCTTGACCAGGTTCTGAATCTTCTTCCCAGCCCCAATGAACGCCCCGATCCAGAAATTCGCATTAGATCAGTGAAAGGTGGTCTACAAAGCCTGTTGAAAGGGGATCTTGTTGTGCCAACCAGCAAGAAGGTTGTCGCAGAAAAGAAAACGAAGAAGCATGGTTCCCACCATTCCCACCACCAAGAAGTCCAGATGGCCATTGAGAGACTTGATGGATGTGCTCTAGCTTTCAAGGTGGTGAGCGATACTAAAAGGGGAGTCTTGGTTTACGTCAGGGTATATTCTGGATCAATCAACCGAAATGCCTCTCTATTCAACACAAATCTTAACCTGTCAGAACGGGCTCCTCGCTTATTAAAAATGAACGCTTCAGAAGCTGTGGAGGTGCAATCAATCCCAGCTGGACATATTGGCGTCATTGTTGGACTAAAGCACGCAAGGACCGGTGATACATTACTTTCATATCCAGGAAACAAAGCCACTCCTCCGAAGCCACTCAATACCCTCCAACTACGCCCGATAGATGTTCCACCACCGGTGTTCTTTGCGAGTATCGAACCTGACAGCCTAAGCGAAGAAAAGCACCTCCATGAGGCCCTTGCATTGCTTTTACGAGAAGATCCTAGCCTCCATGTTACGGTTGACGAAGACTCTGGTCAAACACTGCTGAGCGGTATGGGAGAGTTGCATCTTGAAATAGCCAGAGACAGACTGGTGAACGACTTCAAAGCCAGAGCCTCTATGGGGAAAATCGAAATCGGCTACCGTGAATGCATATCTGGAACTTCCTCTGTAGTAACCAAAGTTTTCGACCGAGAAATTGCCGGTCGTAAGGGCAAAGCAGGCTGTACAGCACTGGTAGAATCCTTCAACCCCGACAAATCCGATGAAGAACAACTTGAATCACATGAGGACCTTCTATTCGAAGAAACCCGCAATGGAAATCGCATCACGATCCTCACTCCGGATCTAGTCCACCATGGCAAAAATCACAAAAAGGCTAAAATGCCCGAAGATCTTCTTCCTATCCACCTTGACCTCTCCATAATTAAAACGGCCATTTACAATGGATCTCTCGCTGCGCTAGCCAGGGGTCCAAAATACTCCTTCCCGCTGCACAATACGCATGTCACGCTGAAGTTCGATATAAATACCGATCTATTTGGTGCTGAAACTACCCCATCCGCCCTATCCGCCGCCGCACGTCTCGCCACCCAATCCGCCCTAAAAGAAGTAGCGTCGACATCTGCGCTCATGGAGCCGGTGATGAATGTCATCATCAGTGTTCCTGAATCGAGCATGGGAGTAGTTGTGCATGACATATCATCAGCGCGAGGCGGGCACATTCTATCTCTCGACGATGACTGCGGGGCATCGTCTTCAAGGACGGATAATGACGACCTACCACCCATCGATGTATCTAAGATCTACGCCCCGCCCGACCAATTCGAATCGGCCTCGGTAGCTTCCAATACCAAGAGTCCGAACCAAATGCGAACGATAACTGCCAAAGTTCCGCTGAAGGAGATGGTAGGATATTTGAAGCATCTGCGGAGCTTGACTGGTGGGAGGGGGACATTTGTGATGCATGTGGATAGATTTGAGAAGATGGGGAGTCAGAGGGAGAAGGCAGTTCTGACAGAGCTGTGAGTGATGTAAAGTATGTATAGTAGAATAGATTAGCTGTTGCATTTTTTTTCCCCCTTGTTTTGTATTTCATTGACTCATGGATGCCAGAGATGCTTTCCGAGGACATTTCATAAAATTGCATAGTTAAAACAAGAAATTCCAATGTTTTCCAGAGTGGCCGCATAAATTTATTTCTAAGTCTATTTTTGTTTTCAGAAACACAACAGAAACACCGACTCCTCTCCCTTTCCTATCGATTCCAACCGCAGACCAACCACGAAATTGGTAACTATCTCATTGTAGATGAGCGAACCTAGAGAGGAATAACGGAGGATAATGGGTGTTGAAATGGAAAACAAGTGACCCTTAGGGTGTACCTTTTCTTCTCCGTTATCGTTTATTTACAGGCCCACTCACATGTATATAACCTCAAGAGAGATAAATGATGCTGCGGTTTGGAAGAGAAACGTACACACATACAACAGGTATTAATACGTCGTTGCTCCTTGTTCCCCTAAACACCATGGAATTAGATCAAATACCCAACCTTGGTCCCTGGAAATGGATTATAGTCTATGCAAGTCAATCCGGCAGCCAAGGTAAGTTGGGCTTGTTTGTAGTTAACTAATTGGTTGTAACTAATTATTAACCATGATAATTTACATTCTTGAACAACGAGAGCAATGGTGAAAAGTCGGAGACTTCATGATGTAACTAGAAAGCTCAGCGGACATTAACAAGAAAAATCGCTATCTTTTGGCGGGCTTGCTTTCGACAAACTCTCTCAACCATCACCTGAAGACAGCCGTCCATTCTGTGCATAATTGCATGGATATATCGGGATCCTATCTTTGCGCCTGATGGTGGGCGCACAAAATCAACATCATATAGACGCAGACGTAACCAAGAAGTCACCAATGTAACTATGTTGCGTGCCTGCAAAAGCCTCTGCGCGATACCTCCTTGTAGGCCGCGTCATGAAGCATGGCTCCAATCTTTGCTGGACTAAATAGCATCATCGTCCCCCGGATTTGACTTGCCATCCTTCCCAGATTTGTAGCCATGCGGGGCCGTCTTGCCAGGCGCTTCGCATGTGGGTTTGGAACAATGGAGAACCGATAAATGACTCCGGAAGTGGCGGGGATACATGCGTCCAAGCTCCGATAGACAGATTTATAAACACGTCGTCTGTTGATTCCCCATGGTCCCGCGCTCGGTTGGATAGCAGCCCAAACGTGTGCGAGCAGCACATCTAGTCTAGAGATGTCAGGGCGGCCGCTATCATCAGTGCGGGCTCGTTCCTTTAACCGGACAAGTTGCTCCCAGTGAAATAGAACTGGGTATAACTAGCAGGCCTAGAAATATCCCATGTCTTCCACGGAGCAGCTGTTGATGGCGACAGTGTAATCCTCTTCAGCTGCGACGACAGGAGGCTTGAATTCTCCATCGTTGGGACCATAAATTCCGGATATCCGGCAGCGTCAGTCCCCACCATTCAAACCAGTGTAAGGGGAGTTGACGGGCTTTAAGAGGCCAGTACTGCATCCGGAGCAGTCCCATCGATACCGCCTGCGGCACATGCGTCTAACCGTGCGGGTTCAAATATTGGCCTGACCCATTATTAAATATGTTCTTGAAATCACCAGATTTATTAAATAGTGTCTGGCTCTCCGCAGCTCACTTGTGCACAAATTCCTTCATTGCTTGTGCAAAAGCCAATGAACGAGCTATCTTGACATTGATATCATACCCGCCATCACTGAAGAGTGTTACTTGGATATGCATGGAAGGAAGTCCTTTGCAGTCATGCAGATTATGCAATGGTAACAACGTGTTCGAGAGGAACAACTCATGGTTAAATCCGTCTCTGATCCATATGCCAGAACATTCTGCACGTTCAGAAGGAGTACGCACCAAAGATGTAGCTGCGATATTCCGATGCCGGAACACTCTCCACTCGACGCCTGGATCTTCGTTCGTGCCCGTACACAGCCGTGGGCCTGTTGAAGCGCTCAGTATGATGCTGAGAATCTCCCCATCGCACCGGAGACTACTGCAGCTGGCCAGCCCAATGTGGGAAATCGTTTAAAGTAGACACAAAGGGTAGACTCGAGGTAGTTGAGGAAAACTTCCTCCTCGATGGCGTGGTATATCGTCGAACAGCCATATTGCTCCTGTAGGAGAAAATCTGGTGGCTGTGGCATCTAGAATTGACAAAGGGAATGAAACAGCTTTGGGAGAAGAAAAAGATGGGAATAAACGCGCCGCGCCTTGATCTCTTCCATGTTAGAAAGACAAGGTTATTCCTTTTGTGACCCTTTTTGGCAAATATGGGCAATGCCGGCTTTGTGGAAAAGAGTATTTGATTGTAGCGTCCTCTATATATCACAACATAAATGTAGTTGCTCTGCTTCGTTGATTTAATCTTCGCAACATTTTTAAAATGTCAGCACGCTCAAGAAACCAAAACCTCAGTCCTTTTGACTAAATAGTTGTTTATTTTTTTTTATTTTTTTTGGTTTCAAGTCTTATGGAGGTATCAAGATAGACAACACCAGGTTCTGAAACTGTAAAAAGACTTCTCAAAGACTCAGTATGGGTCAGCATGAATTTCCATTTGATTAAATTCCCTCTTCACAGTTAGAGTGTTGGAATGAATTAAATAACAAATGCAGCAAATATTTAGTGATGTCTTGGAGCAAAAATTTGAGATGATAATGAGAACATCAGGCAGACTCTGTTTAAGGACAGAGGTACAGAGGAGATGGAGACCCCCTGCAACACACATAAATGAGGCTCATTAGAGCTAGAATGGTACCAAAAGCTCCTCATCTTGAAAAGAAGCGTGAATGGTATATCACTTCCATGGACTGATATGGATATAGCGAAATGTATACTGCAAGTGGAGAGAACATCCCTTGATGCCACGGCCCCAAGCCAAGCCATCTCTCATCCCAGGTAAATGCAGTTCGACGAAGATTAAAATCTCGGAACAGAATGTCTAGAATTTCCTTCCCAAAGAAATAACTGATAGGAAAATGAGGGAATGAATTAAACGGGGAACGAAAGAGATAAAGCAACACCAAGCGTCATCCGTAAGGTAGGAGAATACAAAGAAGTCAACGGCATTTAACCCACCAGCAAAAATGATGGAGGAGCACGGATCCCAAAAATAAAATAAAAAAACTACCAATTATCATCCCAACTCTTACCCGCATCATCTTTCCCCTTTGCACCGTTCCCGCCAGCAGCACCGGCACCACCAGTAGCGCCACCAGAAGGGGGCCCACCACCCTTCATGGCTGCCGTCCCAACAGCATCCGGCCGCTTCTTCTCCTCTCCTAGAGCGGCAAAATCATCCCAAAAGTCCTTCCTCTCTGGAACGAATGTTCTTCTTTGCGACCCATGCCAACCCGACGGCGATATTGATGTGTCTGCAGGACCCTCGACGAATCGGCTGAAGGCATCTGCGGCTCCGCGCGTGCCGGTTTGGACATTTCGGGATACCTGAGTGGCGGCGAGGCGGGCCTGGGCGGCCAGGTCGGTTTCCGCGAGCTGATTTGTTGTCTTGTTAGCGGTGTTTTTTGAGGTAGATACATTTTCCGCTTGGGGAAATAGTTGTGAATATAATATAATACACCAGAGAATCAAACCAAAATACAAGGCTTACCGTCTTAGCGGCGGGTTGCAAATAGGACTCATTCACCGTCTTCGCCCCTTTGGTCACAGTAGTTGTAAACCAACCGAACCCCTTCGTCAGCGCGGCAACGGGGTCGTTCTGGAAGTCTTGCAGGCCCGGTATTGCAGCGCCACTGTCATCCTGCTGCTCGCTTCGCGTAGACGCTGGCATCCCACCTCCGAATCCCGTGTACTTCCCGCCCTGCGACGGCGCCACGTTTTCCGGTCTACTCGAATTCTCCGCCCCCAAAGACGCAAAATACGCTTCGTTCCGCTCTTTTCTTCCTCCCGCTCCCGCTCCTGCACTTCCAACCAGCCCCTCCGGCTTCGCAGGCGACATGGACCTGGATGGCGTCAAGCCTCTCTGGTCACTGCCCGTAGCAGAAATAGAAGGCGGCGTCCCGGCCCTTGACAAAGCTTTCTTCTCTTCACCGGGGATATACTCCCTCCCCTCAACGTTGGCCGTCAATCTTGCCTTCCACTCCTCGCCCACATCGCCCTCATACCTCTCCTTGATGGTCGAATCATCAAACACACGGCCTTCCGCAACGTTGGCGCTGTGCTCATCGAAGAAGAGTTTCCAGGGATCGTTGCCGCCGTGTTCCATGCGCTGGATTTCAGCAGGCTTGAAGGCGTCCATGGTTATGCTGCGGACAAAGGAGATGTGCACGCCTAGGCCGCGGTGGGTGCCAGCGCAGTTTAGGCAGATGAAAGTGCCGAATTTGGGGGAGGCCTGGGTGGGATTTGTTAGAATGTGGGTGAGTGGTTTAAAGAGGACTTGGAAGAGGATGGGGGGGCGGGGTTTGTGGGCTTTCGAGGAGGATTATTAGGTGGAGAAACAATCCATAGCATACCCACTGAGGTGACGGAGCGCCGCAATCACAGCATCGATCATTGCCCTTGGTCTTCTGGATGAGTAGCAGCTGTACTTAACAACAGAGGCACATTTCGTCCTGCATTGTCAGCGAGATGCCTCATGAAGTGTACTCAACCCCTTTTCTCTTTTCTCCTATCCCCAACATAAACACACACATCCAAACAGGAGCTACCAAACCTAGCCAAAAAAGACCATACCTTACTCCTCGTCTCCATATCCACCCTCCATTTGTTCGACGACATTTTCCCCCTCACTCATACACTCTCTCGCTCTCTCACCGAACCAAGTTGATCCGCAATCAGCTTCGCGATGGACAATCTCCAGGCCCGAATACGAACGTATTACTTCAGAAGCCACCCAAAAACTTCCTCCCCGTCCAAATCCCGTTCACCCTTTCCCCCTTCGTTTACTGATCTAATATCTCCTGATATACGAAGTCGAGAAATCAACCTCCCCCCCCGGGCGCGCCTCAAGTCAAGAACCGAACCTAGTCCGTCGCGAAAAGAGTCACGTCGATCGAAAATAAAAAGGAAACAATACAAAAAAAAAGAAAAAGAAAAAGAAAAAGCAAAAGCCCTCGGGGAATCAAGTAGAAAAAAAGAAAAAAAAAAAAGACCCGTTCGCTGCAGGAAGAGAATGGATAAAGACTGAAAACAGCCCCTATCCCAGCCAATTCCGTTCCGCCTGTCGTTCGTTGGCTTGTTCGTCAGGGAATCGCAGGAATCAATTCTAAAATGCCCTAGCTAGCCAAGCGTCTCAAGAGGCGGCTCTCGTTCGCCTTTACAAGCAGAAAGAATTTGGGGCGACTGGATTGGAGTTGCGAGTGCGAGTGCGTGTGCTTGTGCGTGTGCTTGTGCTAGTTGCTGGTGCATGTGCGTGTGCTTGTGCGTGTGCGTATGCGTCTTTATTGACCCTGTGTAACTAGCTCTTCGTATCTTGTCAACAATTCCAAGCCCAACCCCCCCCGTCTTTGTTCCTTACAAATAAATATATAACTCCCCTCTTTCAACGTGCGGTATGGCGGGGCAACTATCGACTCGGGCTAACGGTTACAAATGTGCCCCCGAAAATCGAATCGCAGTGACGACGGCTCAGCATGGAAGTTTTGTCTACGCAAGAGCGCGGGTCCCAGGGATATATGTTATCAGAGAGTAAGCAGGGATATAGAGGTTAGTCTGTGGATCTGGAGTGGAATTTTTCTCCCTTATTTTGCGGCGGGGGGGGGAGAACGGGGTGGAAAGTGGGTTTGGTTGTAATAAGGAAACATCCCTTCCTTGCCAAGAACCAAGGCTGGACCCAAGATTTTCGCCGTTGGAAAAAGTCGCCTATGGACTTGATATGTAACTAGTGATGCGGGATACAGGTTGATCCCAACACACAAAACCAACTCTGGAAGAGACGACAGGACATGACATGAAGCGAATGAAATTATGGTTGGCTGGAGCTTCAAATAGGCGTTTCCACAGCACGCACTGTCACTCTATCTTGGCCGTTGGCTGTGGTGGATTCCCTGACTCTAAGCTGATATTAAACGCTTTGACTGGTTATAGTTACACACCATTGAGACACACCACCAGCTCAAAATAGAATAAAAAAAAAAGAAAAGAAAAGAAAGAAAAGAAAAGAAAGAAAAGAAAAGAAAAGAAAGAGGAAAAACTAATAATAAAATACAATTCATAATTTGATTGGAAAATATTTAAGATACATCATAGCAAGCAAGCCGGCCAAGTATTCCATTGATGGTAACCCAATAATAACTGGGGGGAAAGGGGGGGGGGGGGGGGGGGGTTAGGGGAGACTTGACTTGCATGGAGTGCTGAGTGCAGGGGATTCCTCCTTTCATTTTGTCTTTTTTTTGGGTCTTTTTGATTTTTGATTTTTTCTTGTTTTGTTTGTTTGGTGGAACGGATACATATTTCTGCTGGCTGATTGTTTTGTTGTCCTTTTTCATACACACATCCCCCCCTTGCCCTCTACCTTCCCCAGATGTAGAACCAAGGGGGAGACGAGCAGGTAAACAGGAATGAAGCTGGGGAACCTGGAATCGAGGGGCGGCAACTAGGAAATGGATAAGAAACGGCAAAAACGTTTGTTGGAATTTCTTTTTTGGCTCTCCTTCCCGAATAACAAATATTTAAAAAAACATTTAAGCAATTTCAAACCCGCACCCATAACAGAATTTACTCATCATAGCCATATTTTCTTTGGGTTAATTGCCATATGCGTGCATTCATTTCTTTTCACCAAACCTTCAATTCCCCTTCCTTTTCACCTCGTTTAGTTTGGAGAAGAAATTATGTGTGCTTGACGAATTTTATGCGGCGACGGGAGCATTGGCACCGGGTTCGGAAGTCGAACGCTCTTCAAAAGAGGCATCGTCCTCCTTGCCAGGGCTGTCGATGGCAACCTTGACTGCGATCTCGCGGCCTTCAATTTCTTTGCCATGCATTTCCGCGACGGCCTTGGCCTGGAGAGCCTCGGAGCCAAGAGTAACAAAACCGAACCCACGACCCTTGCGGGGCTCACCACGAGCAAGGAGCTTCTTGACCATGAAACGTGGGATGGGGCGAAGTGCAATCTTGGAGGAGACGGGTTCGTAGGCGGCAAAGAGTTCCTTCAACTGTAGAGTGATAATGACTGTTAATATTCCTTCAATTTGGAGGTTTTGAGAGTGTCCATCATACCTTCTCCTCGCTAAGGTCGTAGGGAAGGTTGGCAACCATGACCTTAGTCTTGGAAGGGATACCATCTTCGGGAGGACCACGCTGCTTGTGGGCACGAGGACGCCCCTTGGAGTCTTTGGAAGCATCGCCAGTCTCATTTGTCACATCAGCCAAGGGGGCACCTTCGGTGGCTGCCTCAGCATGTTCTCCATTCTCCTTGTGCTATTTGCGCCATGGGCGACATATATTAGTTGAAGTAATGACCCGAATTTATAAAAGAAAAGATGATGAAAACATTGTGGGAAAAAGGGGACTGCCATTCTCAGCAGAAAAAAAAGGGGGGAGGGGGAGGAAAAGAAGGAGTCGAAACATACAACACGACCGCCACGGCCGGATCTACCACCACGGCCCCGGCCACGTCCACGACCACGACCAGAGCCTCTCTTGCGGCTCTCACCCCCACTGGTACCTTCACCACCGCTGACAGCATCGCCCTTGTGTTCAGCAGGTTCTGGCTTGCGGGCAAGTTGGACTGAGACCTTGCGCTCAAGGATTTCCTTGCCAGAAAGCTCAGAGATGGCAGCCTGTGCTTCATGCGCGGTGGCGAGATCAACAAAGGCGTATCCAACTGGGCGATTAGTACGGGGGTTCACGGGGATGGAGGTGTTTTCACTGTCATGATTGTGAGGCAGAAAGTTAGTGATAAAAACAAGCACATCGATGACAGATGTCATCTATTTAGTGTGCATGAAAAAACAACTGCATTCGTGACAACATAGGATGTCCTATATATGTGTGTGTTTTTAAAAGAGTGGAGTAGAAGGGATGACTCTTTGTTGTGCTTGCAGTTTGAACTTTGCTATTGTTTTCAAAACCAGAAACACAGCTGCAGTGATCATTTTTGTAGATACCATCCCATGCAACAGGACACACAACAGAGCATAGGAAGGTAAGATACTGATAAAAAAAAAAAATCATGGGAAATGCTTTGGAAATACGTACATGGTATAAGCCTTGAAGAAGTCCTTGAGTTCCCCCTCTGTGGTCGCATATGCAAGGTTCCCAATATACAAGCGACGTCCCTCGTCGGCACTGGTGGCAGTGGCATCGGTGTGAGAAGCAGCCGCAGCACCGCCGTTGGCAGCGTCGTTGATGGAGACAGAGGCCAAGTTCTCGGCCACTTCGTTGGCAGTCGACATGATTGATGGAGTTTGGCTGAGTGTTTTGAAAACGGCACACGGGGGTAGTTGGTTGGTCAAAAGGGGGCGTGCTGTTACCGCCGGAACTTGATTGAACTCAGGGGGCTTGGGCTGCCTTGGGGAACTTGAAGGGGGGATGAAAGGGTAGCTTAGTGCCCTAGATACTGGAGAAGATGATGAAGATGGGGGTGTTGGCTTGATCGTATGTTGATGGTTGTCGACGTGGTGGGAAGGAGAAAGAAGAAGAGGAAGAAGAAGAAGAAGAGAGAGGGAGGAGGAGGAGGAGGAGGAGGAGGAGGAAGAAAAGGAACAGGAAAAGGAAGAAGCAAAATAGTGTGGCAGTAGTGGCAATAGTGGCACAGGGGGGTCAGCAGGGGGCGGTGAGTGGTAAGTAGCATTAGCGGTAAGTGGTAATAATTAAGCAGTGGTGACTAACGCGTTGGAGCTGCCTTGACTGGTTCCAAACAATATTAATAAACCGTTTAGAGCGTTTTCCCCTGCGGCTCTTGGGCCTTTCTTTCCTCTAGGGGAAACCCAATGAGGGAAGGCGTCCCTCCGCCTCCTTGCTCCTGCCTCTCTCTGCACATCTCTGTCAGCCGTTGTGGAGGCCCGAGTCACATGTTGTGTCGTTGCAGTGGAATTTGCGGGCGATTGATCTGTCTATACACACATACACACACACACACACACACACACACACACACACACACACACACACACACATTATATATATATATATATATTGTACGGGGTAGAGTCCGTATGTATATACACATACATAATTGATACGTTGACTACATGCCCTTGCGGACGGATGAATGGATGAATGGATGGGTGGGTGGGTGGGTGGATGGATGGATGGATGGATGGATGGATGGATGGATGGATGGATGAATGGATGCCGATTGCGATCGCATACGCGCACTCCCAGCAGTCATTTGCAGCTCTGTTGTGCTTCTATCTCAGGCCAACCGTGAACAGGATTTTAGTCTGGAGTTTTCAGCCTTTCACATAGACATTGGGTTGTTACCTGCCCCCCTTTCTATTCACTCGATATGAGATGTGATCGGTCGGTGGCTGTGTTCTTCTCTCCTGTCGCTGCACCACACAGACGGTAACCTGAGATCTTTTCAGCCCGCCTGAAAAGTGGTCTATTTTCTCTGGAAGTTTCGCTGTCACGCGTCTGTTAATATTGCGTGGTATGGCCCATGTTGCGTATTTTCCCTCTTTTTTGATCTCCATCTCCAGGAAAACCCCCGCCAAAACCTACTCGGGATAACACTCCTCTTGGTGGTAGGTAGGCATGGTGATTGCCCAAGTGTATGCAGGTATCCTGCCTACGACACATTAACTTCTCAAATCAACATGACCCTGATCCATTCCGTGCACTCTTGCTGAATGGAAGATTTAAAATGACACAAATCAAGCCGAATGGGCCTGGGGTTTATGAATAGGCTATATTATTCACTTCTTCTACAACGCTCATCGTCGTTATGAAGAGTGGATAGCTACAAGCACAATCACATTCCCGAGTGAATCTCTATCTCACACAACACCTCCATTCTCTGTCAAGATGCATTTTTTTATCAAGGCGATTTCTCTCTTCTCTTCTCTTATTCCTCATTCTCTCTCATTCTGCAATCATCAAGCACTTCTTTCCGCTTCGTTTCATTTCAAGTTTGTACCACCTTGTAGTCGCCCTCGACTTTCAATCGGTATCTAAAACATTGAAGCCCTCGAAGAGAAATCCGCCATCATGACCGAAAACAATCCTGTCATCATCCTGGACGATGATGAAGAAGTAGTTCAGGCTGCTGGTGTCGCTGTGCAAGCCAATATCAGATCCAACTCGGAGCCAGTTTGTCCCAGCGAGGGCCCGCTTCGTGCAAGCCCACCCGCTGGTAAGAAAATCTATCTCCCGATTCCTCAAATTGTCTAGTCTTATCTTACCATATGCTATCTGCAGTTCGCTTTAACAGAGACTTTCTTCTCGCGGCCCCTCTCGCCGGTAAGGAAATTTATCTTCCGCCTCCTTAACTGTATAAGGCCCGCTCTTACCGTGCAATAGCATCGTTGCTCTCCAGTGGAGATGCTGGTCCTCCTCATCCATCCAGTAAGAACATCTATCTCTCATTTCCTCGGTTACCAGCCTCTGTCTTACTGTGTAATAGGAAATTCCCCTGGTAGGAATCACAACAATCTCCAGCAAGCAGAAATTGATGGGCCGAGTCAAGGGTCGACGGTCCTGTTCACCCTCAACACATCAGAATGGATGAGGAATGTCACCAAAGACTCAAATTGCCTCCTGAATTCTTCAAACCCCTTTCCTGTAGAGTCTCTTCCACCTTTCATTGCCCTACAGCAGAAGCAGACAGGCCCGTCTGCTATCGCAGAAGAAAAGGGACTTGCCTCTTCCCAACCAGAATCAAGCAAACCGTATACCATTTCGCCCTTTGCAAGGGAATTTTTCACAGACATGGCTCGTACCATCGGCTGCGTTTTCCCCTACGGCGAATTCGCGCAAAAGTACAACTGTACTGTCGACCAGGTAAACATAGCATTGAATGCAGTTGTCCTGGAACCGTTGATGAAGAGCGATGGAGTCACCGATGACGACCTAGGTGTCATGGAGATTGAGCTTGAGCAGGGTCCCGGTGTGGACAAAATATGTGACAGCTACCTTAGAAAAAAGTGTCTCAAGCAGTATGACACGGTTGTGCGAGAATTTCAACGAGAGAAGCGGGCGGAAGCTTTCCCTCAGGAATTTGAAGAGACTCTTTTCGTAGCGTTTGGAAAGCTGGATGCGTATTGGAAAGCCAAGAATATTGGGCTCAAGATCCACAAGGCCCTTGAGGATGCAAAGAGAGTTGCGAGGAAAGAAGCAGAGAATCAAGCTCTCGCTGAACAACAACTGAGAAGTGTGGTGAACTGGGCAAAACTGCAGATGCCGCTGCAGCAGCCGTCAACTATGACCAAGACGACAATTCCATCAACTCTGCCAATGCAGGAACAGAAGGGTGGGAAAGGCCACTGTGCCACTCCGAGTCGCAAGCGTGCAAGAAGTTCATCAGACGAAACTGGTGAAGAAGAGGATACCAGTGGAGCGAGCAGCAGCAATCCTACGCCTTCGACATCGCCACCGACCTTCCTGCAACTCTCCCCTCCGGCCAAGAAGAAGGCAAAGCTAACAGCCACCCAACCCACACCCACGTACCACACAGCACAATATATCGATCTTCTTTCTGATCACCATACAGCGCCATGCAATGAGATCCATAATCTCGATGGTCTCAGCGGCATTGGCAACGGCAATATCAACATGCCGGAAAATCTGACAATCCCCTATTTATTCGTATCCGCGTATCCGATTACGCAGCAACCAACGTCTCTCCCCCGGTACCTATATGTCCCTACTGCAACCACAAACCTCGAGCCCAACCCCAACCCCAACTCCTCCAACCTACCATTCTACTTCATCCGATCCAGCTCCCGACTTGACGTCACCGTCGACGAATACGGCAGCTACCAGCCCGAAGTATACCCAGGAGCAGAAATCCCCAAACACGAATACGGAGGGGCTCTCGAGAGTATCCCTGTAGACAACAGCAAACTTGGATGGCAAAGCCTTCCAGAGAAATATCGCGAGCGCTTCCTTAGATTATTAAACAACCACAGCGCCCCTGCCGATGCGGAGGATCCGACAAGCAGTGTATTTTCGAACGAACTGCGGGATAAGGCTTCCAGTGAAGTGAAGACACCAAAAATACAAAAGAACTGGAGGGATTATGTGCCTTCGAGAGGGATATTTGAGTATTATGCGAGGGCGCTGGAGGAGGAGAGGGGGCATAAATGGTCTGACGAGTATGAAAAGAGAATTGAAGACCGTTATCTCGCTGTGTCAGGCAAGGTTGGGAAGTATATAGAGATGCTGGAGGCTCAAAGGATGGAGGATGTGCCTAAACTTGCTATGGAGGCAGCGGTCAATCAAGAAGGAGAGGAGCGTGAGAATGCTGGGACTACTCTGGCACCAATGGAGCCTGATGTGCAGATATCTGAAGCCGCTCGGGATGGCAATGACAGGGAAAGTGACGGTGAAGAAGGGAATGAAGATGGTGAAGAGGGTAAAGAAGAAGAAGAAGAAGATGATGATGATGATGATGACGAGGGTGACGAGGGTGACGACGAAGAGGACAAAGAGCAAGAGGATGAGTTAACCAAAATGATCCGAGAGCACTTGCGTGATACCGACGAGTGGTATAGACAGCTGGCGGAGAATGTGGACGATGATGGAGGTTATCGAGTAGGTCAAACTACATATCCCGTAGAGGAAGCCAAGCAGAAAGGGCAGGAGGGCGAGCTGAAAGAGGAAGGGCTGGAAATCGAACAGGAAGATACCCAGGAATTTGAACAAGACGATAACGAGGATGAAGAACAGGACGATGATCAGGATGAGGATTTTGTTCCTTGAATGGAGCTTGACTTGAGAAGTAAATGGTTTGGTGAGTGGATGAGGGTTTTTTTTTTTTTTTTTTTTTTTTTTTTTTTTTTTTAGACATTGTGCTTTGAGAGCATTTGCTGGAACAAATGAAGGCAGTGGAAGGTCATTGTATGGATGATGTGTTTGTAACGTATGTAGTTAGTTGATAAATTTTACAAAGAGCGGGGAAAAAAAAAAGAGGGTGGGGGCTTTTTGATTTGCCTTTCTTAAGATTCTTAGCTTCCCTGTAAAATTCTCTTGTCATTGATATATATTCATCAGCAGAGATCACCTAGATAGCAAAGGGATATAATAGAAAGACAAGCTGGCTCGCTCCAACGAAGGATAGAAAAAAGCAGTATATATACATAACGCAAAATACTTTTCCCCCTTTCCAAAGGGTTCGTTCCCCTATCCCTTTCCCACACGTCAAAAATAGATATCTAAAAAGGCAAAAACACAGAACGGGGAACAGGAAAATCACGCTTCAAATGATATATCCACATAAACACGTACATGCGAAATTGAGAAGCAGACTCAAACGGATGCTCATATGATATAAGGAAAGGGACACGAGGCATAGGAGAGGAATCAAGAACCAGGAAATAAAAAAAAAAAAAAAAGCCCCCCCCCCCCCCCCCCCCCGCGGTTTTCTTTTGGAACTATTAGGTGTTAAAGAAGGGGTTAAGGTATGGGTTCGCGGGATTTTACTTTATTTTTTTTGTTAAGGGGGTGCTTTTGGAGGGGGTTCCGGAAAGGGAGTTTAGGAAAGTTATTCCTCCTGTCACGTTTTTTTTTTTTTTTTTTA